AAAATTGTCAACTCACAATTCAAAATTGTCAACTCACAATTCAAAATTGTCAACTCACAATTCAAAATTATCAACTCACAATTCAAAATTGTCAACTCACAATTCAAAATTGTCAACTCACAATTCAAAATTGTCAACTCACAATTCAAAATTGTCAACTCACAATTCAAAATTATCAACTCACAATTCAAAATTGTCAACTCACAATTCAAAATTGTCAACTCACAATTCAAAATTGTCAACTCACAATTCAAAATTGTCAACTCACAATTCAAAATTGTCAACTCACAATTCAAAATTATCAACTCACAATTCAAAATTGTCAACTCACAAATTAAAAATTGTCAACTCACAATTCAAAATTGTCAACTCATCAACATGCCGGGACACAATAATAGGCAGACATGAAGTATTTTTGCCGTGTGTTTTGATGTTATGTAGTATAGCTCAGTGTGTTATGTACTCAGGTGAATATAACGTAATATAATACTAAAATCATGATCATAGATTAGAACACATTGGTTATTGGTATCGAAGGTACTAGACGTAGTTCCGAAATACCACACACTCGAACTGACGTTGGCCTCGTAGCTCAGTTGGCAGAGCATTGGACCACAGAATAGAATATATTTTATTTTCTATTCTGTGATTGGACTAGTATCCCAAAGGTCGCGGGTTCGATTCCCACCGTGGTCAGCTAACTTTTCAGCCTGCCCGGTGTGGATATATTATACACTCAGTGACCATAGGCGTACCGGGCGGGGGGGCGGGGGGGGCGGCAGCCCCCCCCCAGTTTTTTGGGCAGTCGGGCAATATTCGATCAACAGTCGGGCAATTTTGGTTTGCAATAAAAAAAAATGGGACAAATTCTGTCAATTTTGTCTAAAAGTAAGTCAATTTTTTGGCAAATTTTGTGATTGGCGAAAATTTGTGTTATGTTCCGAAAAATATTGGTTGTCCGGAAAATTTTTTTGACCCCTAAAATGGTACACTGACCGAAATTTTTTTGGCGACGGGGGGGGGGGAAGGTCGCCAAAATAATTTTTCCGGAAAAATTTTTTGGTACTAGTCGGGCAGAATCCCGAAAAGTCGGGCAATTTTCTTTCCGCCCCCCTAATTTTTTCCTTCCGGTACGCCCATGTCAGTGACTCAGAGTAACATAAAAAAATTAAGACATGAAGGACATGAAGTAGTTTAAAGATATGGGTATGCGCGACCACAGTGCTTCCACTATAAAAAATTCCTTCTCAACTGCTCAAATTTTTCTTATTTTTTACAAAATTTCCTTGCTCTAAAGTTGATGAATTTTACCTACTTTAAAACTGATATTACAATAATTTATCCTGAATAACGGCGTGTTTCTCGGGCGAGAAGAATCATGGACGCTGCAGGGAAGGGATTGTCAAAGGGGAAGTTGACGTAAAATTATTCAAAGTGGAAGAAACAGGGGGCTTGATCTATGGGCTTGATGAGGTCATCCCTTAATTGGTGATTTCTCAACATGTTAATTGTTGTTTTGCATAACTTTTGTTCATAAGATGTAACATCTACCTTGAAGGAAATTAACGATGCACTTTATTAACGCGACGTAAACTTACATTATCTAATTAACGCGAATTTCTTCTGGGTCTTTTAAAATTTAATTATATTTACGAGAATCTTATCTTCATCAACAGAAACAAAATGTTAATTAATAACAATAGTGACAATGAGGGTACTGACGAATCGGTTGTGATAATGAATTGAATGACGAAGACTGAGGTTTTTAGTTTACATTGTATGTTGATTTTTTATATTAAAAGAGTTAGTGTTAAATAAAACAAATTTTAATTAATGATAACTGAAATTCGCGACACATCAAATTAATTGTGATAATTCTTAAAATTCGCATTAATATAGTGCGTCGTCAATTTAGTTGTTGTAAATTCCTGTTGAAAAGTTAATATTAAAAGTTCATATTAATTAACTGCGGTTATTACTATAACATGACAATAGAAAAAAGTAATATAGAAATTCAACCATATTACATAGTATATACCATAAATTGTTGTTGATTAATTAATGTCAATTAGCATAAATTATTTTCCTGTCTTTTTAAGCTGATCTAATGATTCAAAAACTAGGTGTTGTAATTCAGTAAATGTTCAAACAAATTTAGGCATTCCTTCCAATTTCTCGGTTTTGTCAGCTGTTGAAGGTCAACAACATAATTAAAGTAACTTTGGTAATCATTATCCACAATAGGCTCTTCACAATGAGAAGCTACCACTTCCAGTTGTGCATCGGTAACTGGTTGCATTTGGTCTTCACCTCCAAAGGTTTCAGGCAAGAAAAAAAGTTCGTCAGGTTTCCCTGCGATTGTATCGTGTCTTGATTGCCGAATGTAATGAGTGTTCCAATGAACCCTGAAAAAATCTAAGTCCTGTTGTAGAATTTCATTGAAACAAAACCAAAGACATTCATTATGATAAATGTTACCACTTATGTACACCCCTCTTTCAGATAAATCCTTAAAAAAGTTTATCCACCATGATGTACGACTTCGTCTCAAACTGGACCACCAGCACTCAATTCGCTGATTTGCTGTTGATGCAACATAACGATGCGCCTTTTCACCGGCAAGGTCATCTGTACCATCACCTCTCAGATAACACTGCAAGGTTGCTATTTCAACATTTTCAGTGCCAGGGTCTGTTGATAAAATTCTTGGACAACCACCTAACTCCTCGATGCAGTCATGATAATATTTAGCAATTACAGCTGGGTTACTATTAGTTCTTGTAACCTTCAACCATAGCATGCGACGGCTATAACCATCTATGGCGCCATGTAGTGGAAATCCAAATGGCTTCAGTTTGTCGTAACCGTCAACATGCCAGCACTGGTTTGGTCCAGGAGATTTGTATTCTCTTCTTTTCAGCCTATGACGCTTCCGTTGCTCTGTTCCAACAGGATCTATCTCCTTCAGTAATGCTTGCACACGAGCTCGTGGAACACACATTCTATATTTAAGACGAAGAGTGTGCCATAATGTTCTATATCCCGAAACACAGCTTGGCCCATCGATTTCTTTCCTAATAATCTCCATAAGCTCATTATCGCTTACTTCGTCGCCTGTTTTTCTTTTTAGTTCATACTGCTTTAAACGCCTTTTAAGTGTCGACAATGACATAGTGATGCCATGATGCGTACTTAGGAAACATAGTATTGTATCGTATTCATACCCTGCAAAGAAGTAACTTTCAATTGCTTCTTTCTCACCCTCAGCTTCAGAATGCACTGTAGTGGAATCTATCTCACCCTCTGCCGATGGACGTGCAGTTCTTGTACCGCAATTTGGGCAAAAATTAAACGTTTCCTCTAAGTTGTAACCGCATGATGAACAAAACATGCCACAATCGCAGCCACAAAAGATTCTGTACGGCCATGTTGTGCGCGAAAACACTGGTGGCCTGGGCAAATGAGTTGATAATTGTGAGTTGACAATTTTGAATTGTGAGCTGACAATTTTAATTTGTGAGTTGACAATTTTGAATTGTGAGTTGATAATTTTGAATTGTGAGTTGATAATTTTGAATTGTGAGTTGACAATTTTGAATTGTGAGTTGACAATTTTAATTTGTGAGTTGACAATTTTGAATTGTGAGTTGATAATTTTGAATTGTGAGTTGATAATTTTGAATTGTGAGTTGACAATTTTAATTTGTGAGTTGATAATTTTGAATTGTGAGTTGACAATTTTGAATTGTGAGTTGATAATTTTGAATTGTGAGTTGACAATTTTGATTTGTGAGTTGATAATTTTGAATTGTGAGTTGACAATTTTGAATTGTGAGTTGATAATTTTGAATTGTGAGTTGACAATTTTGAATTGTGAGTTGACAATTTTAATTTGTGAGTTGACAATTTTGAATTGTGAGTTGAGAATTTTGAATTGTGAGTTGAGAATTTGGAATTGTGAGTTGATAATTTGGAATTGTGAGTTGATAATTTGGACTAGTGTTTTAAGTTTAGAATTACGTTTTTGACTTTGGTTTCGGTATTCGATTTTGTGTGTGTACTGACACCTGTGGGCCACCGTAATCGACAGACCATGCAGTAGAACAATTGATGGCTTTTCATGCCACTGACAATTTCAGGTTAGTATAATACTATATAGTGATATAGTCAGCCCTCACTCTCATATTATGCAATATTGCTGGTAATAAACATCAGTATATATAGTAACTCGTATTAGTCATTCATTTCATTCAGGAACACTCTGCTGTTAGGTTTGTTGATATTGCATTCAATGTTTATACGTGATCGTCTGCTAATTATTTCTACTATAGATGCTAGCTTTATTACATCTGTTATGGTGAACTACCCTTGGGCTTGGCTAGAACTATACAGCAGAGCCCAGTATAACACCGACCTTTACTGGTCCAGTGTATTACGAGACGAAATCCGGCTCTGAGTCCTTATAGAGGAAACTAATTAAACTGAACTATCTATTCATACTGGATATACAGCTATTCAATTAAGGTTGTCCTTCCAAAACTGAGCACGCATGGGATGATGGGTTTTTACCTATTAGGTCCTTAAACTCAGAAAAATGCCTTTGCAGCAAGTATGTTTTCTGTCGTGAGTCTTCTTTTTCAGTGTCTTATAGGTAATCTTGGAAAGCCAAATTTCAAAGTTTATGAGTCTAAATAAGCAATAACCCATCATCCCTTGCGCGCTCAGAGTTTAAGGTTTAAGTTTTTGGAAGGACACGATTGACGATAACCGAAATTGGGTGAACCACGACTTACGATATACCCCATCAACAGCCTTACTTGATACTGGTAAAGGGCATCCCTGATGACGATTGAAGAATGTGATTCGGTCGAACTTTGCATTCATTTAGTTAAACCTTGCGGAGGGACGATTGAAAATATGTCCGATAGACTGATATTATACTTCGTTGCAGTGAAAGAATAAACTTCAAAGCATCATCATTAATTATCATCATTATCAAGTTCCTATATATATATATATATATATATATATATATATATATAGGATACTCAGGCTATATTTTATCTTATAGGGCATTGGAACGACATACATGGGTTCTCGGTGCACAATTCTCAACGATACCAAAAGTGACCGGTGTGGGTAGCCCACGGACCAAACTATGGCGTTCTTATTCGAGGTTTGGAATTCATTCTTCCATCAGGCCAAACGTCAGATACAGTGGGACACTATTCGGTGTGCACTATCGAAAATATGATTAGAATGGTTCACCTCTTTCACGAAGGGTTAAAAACCATGGAGGAGGAGCAAAGAAAGGATATGCCTTCTGCTGAATTGATCAAACCTGGTGAAAAATACACATGGGATGGTACTTTGTCTCTCCACATGCGTGTTCATGTTATGAATGATAAGTTACAGCGTGATGAAAGAGCGTGTTTTACTGGTCCCACTCTAAACTCGGAGAACGTCTACCCCATTTCCGAGTATTTTAAAAAGATAGACGCGAAGACCGACTGAGAACTGGCCAGAACTCGGTGAACGTTTACAGTTGTTGTTATATAATATAATACCTTTTGTTTGTGGAAACACCACGTAAATTTATTACTGCAATTTATTATTTATTTGTTGTTATGTAGTTTCCTTTGTAGCTTGATAGTTTATATTCAGTTCAGTTGCTTGTGTTGCCTGTACAAGATATTACATTAATTACAGCTAAGTCTAAGAAAAATTATTGTCTCATTGACAGAAGTGATTGACTATACCACTATCGCGACCATTATATATATGATACGATATTGAGTTGTTATTCTATTGCTACGTTTAATCACAGTTAACTGTCGGTTTAATATTAATCTATTAGTTTTGCCATTTGGGTGATACTTTTTTTATTCATTGGTTTACGGATCCACCGACCGTAAATATTCAGATAATGTCAACAATTTTACGATTATAGTCAATTTTAGTTAATTTAGGGTTCTAACATGAAGTACACGCCAAGTAAACCTTTGCCTCTAAGTACTACTGGCTCATGTTATCGTTGTGACAATCTTGAAAAACAAATGTTTTTTTAAATTTTTTTTCCGACCTACCGACCTTTTTTTTTTCAAGTAAAATCCGTAAACCAATAAATAGAAAAAAGTCTCGCCTTGAAAACGCTGTACGTATGTCGACTGATTATTAATTTCATTTGTTGCGAAGCTAATTAAATGTCAATTTCAAAACTATGCTTGTATTCGAGTTCACCTAATTAACGCGGTTACCAGCTTCTAACAAAAAATGCCATCGAACGAACTATTTCGTCAGCCCGGCTGGCCGACTATTAAGTTTACAATTGAAACTGTGATTTGGTAAAAGAAATGGATGGGAATTAAATGAGATTTAAAAAGGTGGGCTGGGAACGAATCACAAGCATGAAATTAGTTTGAGAGTCAGTACGCACTGCACAGCGGTAATTCAGAACATCTCCTCCAATTGGATGGAAATTAATTTCTTAAAGCCACATCACATACTCTTATGGAATGAAAAATGAAAGAAATGGAATGAAAATATCGGTATAGAATTAAACCGTGGACCAAGCTCACAACTTCCCTATACGACCAATTTTGAGATAACACAACTTTGTCAGAAATTGCATACTAAGTTGCAGCAAAGATTGCCGGCGGCCTCGCGTATAAAGTCGTATAACACGGCCAAGAACGAAGCAAACCCATCGTTATGAACAGAAAAAAGTAATTAAATATTTATTGCGCCTGCGTTATATCTTTAGGAGAAATCCCTCTGTTTGAACAATCAGTTTCAAAACTCTTGGGACAGATGGCACAAAACCTTTGAATTTCAACAAACGTCAATCCCTCCCGCCCCCTGTTCAATGTTGTGTCCCATTTCTCGTCAGGTTTGATGTGTTTTGGTTGAAGCAACATTGATTGGGGGTGGTGGGTGGTGTGAGCGGAGCGGTATTGTGTGTACAAAACTGTAGTGTAAAATGTAATCCACTTAAGGCCCGGTCACACTACACAACGATAACGATACGATAAATTGTAAACATGCGATAATTGGCAAAAAAATTGTGTTAGTGTCCACACAACAACGAAAATGATAAAATTATCGTTAGACGATAACGATAACGATTTTAAAATCGCTCACCTGAGCGATTTTTTTTTCAGCCGGACGATAACGATAAATTTTTGACCAATCGGCGCGCGTATACAAGTTATCGTATCGTTATCGTTGTGTAGTGTGACCTGTACTTAACTAAAACTACATGTGTCCCGCAACAACTTCTGAAAGCGATTAGTGTGTAGCCGATTGTGTCGTCACTCGTCAGTATTACAACTAAGAAAAAATATTGTATTAAGAACAAATGAAAACTATATTCTAATGTCTTTATACTGTATAGATTCATACGTGTATATGTAAATCCTGGAAATGTGAAAATGTACGCTGGAATAAAGCCATGGGAATGAAAAGTCATAGATTTGCAAATTGCAATATATTTGTAATTTTGAACAGCATGTGGCTATATATATGACTTCCATTCTCATATATGTGGCAATGGCCTAATCCTGCTTTGTACCCAGTACCCCAGGCGCCATGTGTTGTTCTATGGCTTGCGTGGCCTCATTCGCGTGCCGTCCCGCGTGCACTTAATGACGTAAACAAACCAAAGCGCTTGGGTACGATGCAGGGCCTAATCAGTAATGCATGCATCGTGTTCGTATATAATTATGTAAGAGATTGACTGCAAAGCAAAAGATTGTAAAAGCTGTGCACTGTTTTTGAAGGTATTTATTATAATTTCACACTATTATTCAACTTGTTTTACATTTTTAAATTGCGAAGTCCGCTGCATGTACTTGGATTGCGCATTTTGGTTGGACGTGAAGACCGACTCGGTGAACTTCAACCACTATCCTGGCCTTCTCGCTTCCGCCCTATTATTTTAGGGGAAAATCGACAAGGTTTGCAGGTTGACCGGGATAAGGCTGATCATTTGGAGACTGGGAACCCAGTTCGGAGTTTGCGAAACCGACAGCCCGCAAGTTCGTGGCAGCCTGTAACTCGCCCGCGCTTGGAAGGCCAGGGACTAGGCTGGATGAACTATAGCCTAAGTGAACTTATAGTTGCTGTTGTGTAGTTACTAGTTTCCTTTGTGGTTTGATAGTTTATATCAATGCAATTACTTGTGATACTTGCACCATAAGATATTACAATTATGAAAAATATTGTGTCTGGTCAGCAAATTTTTTAACTTCGATTGACGAAATGTCCAATATAGGACGAACATGATCTTGGTGTTCGGATATCCCCTGATCACGTGCATCGTACAATTAAACAAGTTAACGGACAGTGTGCCAAAGCAAATACTGAACTCAGGTGTTGCGGCACACGGACTGAATTCACAGCAGTTTAACAAGGAGTACTATTAATATTTGACCATAGGCCGGCACGATACGTTCCCGTACAATTTGAAAAAAGCCATGGCAGTCATGTTGGTGTTCCAGACAAGAGAGTCTAATTAAACTATTTTGAATTGGATCACCAACATGGCGGCTGTGACGTCATGTGCAAACGCTCTATATTGATTGTAAAGATCCACGAACTTTTGAAACTGTGTGTCCGAGATGCAATTGAGCGAGGACTTTAACCATCTCGATAAACTGCTGTTTTTAGTTTCATAGCTTGTTACTTATCTTGTTTTGTATATCTGTGTAACTGTGCAACTGTGTAACTGTGTAACTGTGTAACTGTGTATTTGTGTAACTGTGTAACTGTGTAACTGTGTAACTGTGCAACTGTGTAACTGTGTAACTGTGTAACTGTGTAACTGTGTAACTGTATAACTGTGTAACTGTGTAACTGTGTAACTGTATAACTGTGTAACTGTGTAACTGTGTAACTGTGTAACAGCTGTGTAACTGTGTAACTGTGTAACTGTGTAACTGTGTAACTGTGTAACAGCTGTGTAACTGTGTAACTGTGTAACTGTGTAACTGTGTAACTGTGTAGCTGTGTAACTGTGTAACCGCTGTGTAACTGTGTAACTGTGTAATTGTCTTTTGCGCGCGCAGCAATTGGCTCCAGTCCTAGACTACTGAGGATATGCCTAAACATCGTATTCCTGTACAGTTGTTTAGTGTTTAATTGTGTATGTTTATATACAGTAGCGTACCGGCCTGATGGAAAAGCAATTAAATTAAATAACAAGAAAGCAATTAAATTAAATATAATTCTAGCTGCTGTTACAACGGACATTAAGATTAATTCAATGAGAAGTTACTTTATTTATTCATGAAACGTCTAAACAACAAACACCTCCAACCTAACTATATTATATGCAAGTAAAAACAATTAACTCTGTATATTTTATAACTGAATGTTGGCACAAAAATCCTTAAATTAAGTACAAATGCAAACTATAATATTCTACTGTTTTATGTATTTCTGCTTGCCCCTGCCTCCCCGTTCACAGCATGGCATTTTTTAAAGTATAGCTATTACTGCCTTCTGTCACTAGGATACTGAAACATGGGCTCGAGCTGTTCCATTGTTAACGACACACAACAAGATGTCTGGATCACTCATGAAGTAGACTGGGAAGTTTTGAAAGCTGTAATACGTGGCTTAGTCAGTGTGCTCGCCCCTTGGTAAAATGTGGCTTCTGTACTTGAAACGAGCGATGTGGTGTTGGCAAAACTTCTTACTATACCTCAAAGCGAGGCTGGAAAGATGAAATGCACCATCAAAGAGTTCCAGGGGAGAGCCGAGTTGATCAAGCCTGGTGAAAAGTACACATGGTCTGGGACTCTGTCTCTCACGATGCGTGTCTATGTTATGAATGATAAGTTGCAGTGTGATGACAGAGGATGCTTTACTGGTCCCACTGCAGGCTCTGAGAATGTCTACACAATATCAGAGTATTTTAAAAAGTTGGACTACGTCTCTCCTGATGCGCGTTTATGTTATGAATGATGCGGTGCAGTGTAGTGACAGAGGATGCTTTACAGGTCCTACTGCAGGCTCTGAGAATGTCTACACAATATCAAAGTATTTTAAAAAGTTGGACTACGTCTCTCCTGAATCCTGATGCGTGTTTATGTTATGAATGAACATTTCAGTGAGATGATAAAAGCTAGCTGTCTCACAGGCCCTACTGCAGACCCGGAAAGAGTCTACACCATATCAGAGTGTTTTAAAAAGCTGGACATGAACTAAGGATCGATGAATGACTATTCCCTTTCTTTTCCCATTAACTATAGTTTTTGATGAGTTGTTTCTTTTGTCGCTGTTGACTATAAGACTGCATGGTGTCTAAAATCTTTTAAATGTTTTGAAATCCTAGAATTCTGACTCGTTGTCATGCAAGAGAGTTCCATAGAGTTGCTTCTTGATACCGGCGCTTTCGCTTGTTACGGTTAGTAAGGGAGAGTGCTGACGACTTGGAAGATATATATAAACCGGCAATAGGTTAGGTCAAGTAGGTGTTGAACCTCTTAAAAAAAGAGGAATTTAAATTTTATCCCCGCAAGCGCTCTGAAAGTATATTTGTCCATGATCTTTCTGGCAATGCTGCATGTTGACCGGATCGAATGTCAGGAGATACCCTGTTCTTCAGTGAATACTGTGCAAAATTAATAACAAAACATATATTTCATTTACTTTGACCACCAGCTCTAGTCATCTCTAGCACCACATGTGAAGTATTTTTGTCTCTCCCCCTAATTTGTTACCCCGTATGGCTATGTATGGGTGGGTGGTCGGGTTACTGAATTTTTAAAGAGTAAAATGAGCTACAATCTTTGACAATATAGATTGGGACAATCTAGTTTTCACACGCATTCGGTTGTAATATACCATTTGCTGATACATATTTTCCACACTCCCTCCCCCCATCCGTTTCAATGTTGGCGCCGCGCATCCAGACATCAGATTTTTGTTGGCCCAACATTGAACTGGGGGAACGGGGGGCGCTATTCCTTTCAAAATATATGAAATTACAGCAGCTGTCCCATAGTTTCTGGCAAAGATTGTCTTGGTGGTGACCAATTGTGTTTGGAATTTGGTAATTAAACGTTTTAGTTTTAAGTTTATACCGCCCAATTACATATATTCCAGTATCGAAGCATATGTGGGCAAGTTTTGGTAGTTTTAGATACTATCCATTCATTCGGGGGGGGGTTGTGTTATTTTTAACACTTTACATACCAATACAGGTACGTGTACTACTAGCTATAATAAATGAATGAATGAACAACTTTATTTAAAGAGGGTAAAAACACATGACAGCAATATAACTGAAAAACCTGTGGCCCTCATATACAATACATACAAAGTTATTAATTCTACTTTAAAACGTCTAAAAGCTATTTAGAGTAAATATGTAAAAGATCTTAGGATTATAAATTTATATATACAAATTATATACAGTACAACTTGCTGATCACAATAATAATTCAAAGCGATCGATGCCCTTATAAGATTCTAAGAAGTATTTTTTAAGGGCAAACTTAAAGGAATTAACGCTAGGTTTCGTCTTAATATCCTTCGGGAGATTGTTCCATATTTTAATGCTGCTGACCGTTACAGATTTTCCTCCCTCAGTTGCATAATTATATTTAGGACACACTAGATTATATTCGCCATGACGAGTTTGTCTACCATTAATTTCATTGTTTGTTTTAAATAAGTTCTTAATATACTGCGGAGCTTGATCATGCAGGCTCTTGTAAACTAAAGTGCATTTGTTAATTTTAACTTCGTCATAAAAAGGTATCCAGTTCAGTTTATTGAAATTGGCTATTGACCTGGAGGAAGTGTCAGTTCCTAAAATTACCCGAGCCGCTCTTTTTTGTAATTTGAAAATTCTAAGCAGATCATTTCGCGAGCAGCAACTCCAAATAGAACTACCATACATCATAACTGGCTTGACGACAGCGTTGTAAAATAGCTTTCTCTCAAGTAGTGGTAAGTATCTTCGTATCTTTCTCAGCAGGCCGATCTTTTTACTAAGGTTTTTACTAAGTTTGTTTATATGCTCTTTGAAAGTCAAGTCTTCATCAATGATTACACCAAGTAATTTCTGCGAAGAAACCAGTTCAATATTTGAATCGCTTGCTGTAAGAGGTAAGGAAGATAATTGCATTCGGGATTTAAGGCGTTTACCAGTAATAAGAATTGATTTGGTTTTGTCAGCATTTAGTACCATTCTATTTTTGTCTGACCACTGACATAGTTGGTCTATATCGTGTTGAAGGTTAACTTGTAATTCAGTCGACGCGACAGAGAAGTAGGAACTTGAAGAGAAAGTAGTGTCATCTGCGTATACATCAACAGTTGAATTAGGTATGTTTGGAGGTAGAGCATTTATGAAAGCAAGAAAGAGAAGAGGGCCAAGAATGCTACCTTGAGGGACACCATGAGTTATACATAATGGACATGATTTGAAGCCGTTAATTTCTACAAACTGTGTCCTGTCTGAGAGGTAATTTTGGAAAATCTTGAGATAGGTATCATCCACTCCATAAGCGCTTAGCTTTTGCAATAAAAGCTGGTGGTCAATCAGGTCAAACGCCTTGCTGTAGTCTACGAAAACAACGCCAGTAACGTGGTTTTTATCAAGGTCAGGAAGGATTTGGTCTAGTAAGCGAATTAGAGCAGTTTCAGTCGAGTGGCGTTTGCGAAAGCCAGATTGCAGGCCATATAGGAAATTGTTATTGCATAAGTGTGAATATAGTGTTTGTAGAGATATCTTTCGTATAATTTTGAGAGGATCGGAAGAACAGATATTGGTCTGTAATTTTGTTTGTGTTCTACACTTCCTTGATTCTTAAAAATTGGGGTGACTTTGGCTACTTTCCATCTGGATGGGAAGGTGTTGGTGGATATGCAATGGTTTATGAGACGTGCGACTGAGCTTGATATGGATGGAGCAGCAATTTTCAGTAATTTAGGACTCAATCCATCAGCACCTGTTGCTTTATTTGCTGGCATAGAATTTAGCATTTGAAGTACCTTTTCTGGAGAAATATGTGGAATTTCAAACTTTATCTTTATCTTTAGAGAGTTTAGCAGAGATTCGTTACAAAAAGTAGACTTTATAGATGATAAGAGACGTTGTGGTTGACTAACAAAGAAAGAGTTAAAGATTTCGGCAATGCTTCTGCTTTCCGTTACAAGTTCTCCGTTTTCGTTTAATTGACGAATACCGTTGTTTTCTCCCAATGATACTCTTGATAGATCTTTAATCAATGACCATAGTTTATTTGGGTTTTCTCGATGTTCATTTACTTTCGATTTAAAATAATTTTTCTTTTTATTACGGATTAACTGAGTTACTTTATTTTTGGCCAGTTTGAAAATTGACCAGTCATTTGCGTTGTTGGAAGCACGTGCTTGTTTTAGAAGTCTGTCTCTGATTTGAATTTCATTTGTTATATCATTTGTAAACCATTTTGGTTGGATCTTTCGTTTAACTCGTTTCGATATTATTGGAGCGTGTTTGTTAAGGATATTAGTAAAAATGGAATACCACGAATCAACAATGTCATCAGTATCTTCAAACACGAATGCTGAATCCCACGGGGCTTCTGAAAGATCTTTAGCAAACAATTCATTATTGAGGGACTTTAGATTTCGGTATTTGAGTGATGTGTGTTCATGTATTTTAGTGCCTGCTGCACCTTGCTCTCCGGTTTTCTTAAAGCGCCTGAGAGCGAATACTGGGAGATGATCGGACAAGCCAACATTTAGTGTAACAACATTATGCATTCTATCTGGGTGACTTGAGTAGATGTGATCCAAACACGTGTTAGACACTGGTCGGGTGATACACTTGACAAGTTGAGTTAGATTTAGATTCAGAAGTGTTTTTACTAGATCGTGTTTTAAAAAGGAATCTGGATTTAAGTAATCAATATTAAAATCACCCAAGATTACCAGTTCCTTATTTTCCAAATATGCATTCTCGATATTCTTTCCCAAAATTATGTTATATTCTTTTTTGGCAGACGGTGGACGGTAAACACCAGATACTAGCAATGGTCGCTTAGATTTGTGCGGACAAATTTCAATCCATATAGATTCAATATCTTTTGATTCCAGATCCATTCTGCGCTTTGCTTCGACGCTCTTATTTACATATATCATAATTCCACCACCAACCTTTCCTTTTCTGTCCTTTCTATACATAACATACTCAGGTATTTTGTAGTAAGAATCAGGAATGTTCTCATTGCTGAAGGTCTCGGTTAGAATCTCGGTTAGAAACACTCGACCAGTCCACGAAACTAGGCGACGAGATGTTCTTGAAGATTCAGGCCCGCCTCCAGTCTTAGATTTCGCACAAAGAAATTTAAACCTGACGACAGCATTTTTCAAAATTCCTCCATGTCTTTCAAATTTTTTTCTGCTTCTTTTTTAAGACGTAACTTAAGGAGAACGGCCGGCAACAATAGTCGCACTTTAATGTACAAGGTAAAAAATTCTTCACCTTTCAAGCTTCCACGTTTTTCTACCAGCTCACTGGCGTTCTTTGTTTGATTAAGGATAATAGCTTGTTGACACAAAGAGCAAGCTTGGGTAAGCATCTTAGCTTTACTTTCTGCACTTTCTGACAAAATGTCCAGGCATTTTGCTCCAAGGTAAAGCAACTCCATCGCTTGCAGATGTATCGATTCTCCATGTTTCATGATTAGACACCAGTTTTATCGCCTCTTGACATTTCAGCCATGCACCCGCTACAAACTGGCACAGCATCTCGCTTTTTATTAAACCAATCAACACTTCTGAATATTCACACAGATCATCACAATTTTCCATTGTCTTGCTGGAATAAATGGCAGCGTCTTCATTGAAATTAATTGTAGCGGTTCGGAAATCGCCCCTGGATAAATAACATTCCCCACGCAGTTTAAGCATTTTGGTTTTTCGTCTCCAGTTAGATGGCAGCTGTAAAGCAATATTTAAAGATTTAATGCCACGATTAAGTCTATTGTCTTCTTTCGCTCTGATCGCATCGCTAATTAAATCTTCAACCTTATCATAGGGACAGCTTTCATAAAAAGATAACTGATCAGCTTGATAGGAAGTGTATATTTTTGCAGCCTGATGGACATTGCCTTTCTTCCGGTTATACTCGGAAGCATCTAACAAAAAAAGTCGTTTTACATCCATGGATGACTCTGGATTGAGTGAAGCATCAGGAAATGATTCAACTTCAACAGGGAGATTAATTTGGGCCACTGTTTGTGTCGGAAGGTCTATATTCTTATCATCTGAAGAGTCAATTTCTCGAGACATCACACCATTGGAACCTGGAATAAATACATTTTCCCAACCAGTGTTACAGTTTGCGGAAGTCATTGTAGCCGCAAAGCAACAATTGCTTCCCAAAAAGACTCGATAAGTTTTTTCTTATCTGACGATAATATCTCCTTCGATGATAATATTACTTTCATGATTTCGCACGTTGTTTCGCACGGTAGTTTTTCTCTTTCAATACTTTCGTGAATTTCGCTAAATAACTGACTTGCCATCTCGTTCACAGTCTCAGCTTTTTCCAGCTGACCTGAAGTATATAATAATATGCCTCGAGAAGTGAAACATCTGGCAGCGGCTGCCTTTGCGGTACTGTTTGTTGAAGCCGTGTCCTTCTGAGCAGATAAAAGGAATTCGTATATAAGCGCGTTCGACAGTGTCAATACTAACGGGACATTGGAAGGAATAAAAGGCCAACATCATCAAATTCAGGGATATATGTTCATGAAATGGGTTTGATGAATGCAGATCCATCTTCATTCTTATTACAAGTTCTCTATACTTTATAGCGGCTTGCATATCTTCTGTCATGCAGTACGCGTTCGAAAGCTGTCCAAATATCATGGAGACCATCTCATTTGATTTATTTTTTCCGCATGCTATTTTACTAACTTTTAAAGTTTCACTTAAGTCTATTGACATGTATTTTAGAGCCAATGTTAAAAACGTATTAACAACGAACGAGTCAACTTGTCCGGTTGCTACATGTTGCCGTAATTCTTCAACCGCGCGATCATAATGAATTCGCTGAGCCTGCATCGCAATTTCAGGGTCGACTGAGCCAATCATAGCACAAGCGTTCTTTGCCCAGTTTCCAAGCTACAGCTCTAAGAAAGATCCCATGAGCGGGAGTATCCCGGTGGTGTTCGATAGCTCTTTGTACGTTCTGAGGGCTTTATCGAAACAATGTCGAGCGCAAATTATATCACGAAGATTTTCGTACAATTTCCCCATATACCAAACAAAAGAAAATTTTTTCAAACTCGCAGGTAATTTTTCGACTGAAATGAATGTTAGATTCAGAATAAATTTTGCTTCAGATACCCTGTTGTTATCCATCATAATGGCTTTTGAAATGCCAAAACTACACTCCAACATATTAAAAATATTTTCATTATCCAGCGTATCAACCACAACCTCTAACGCTTGTTTGTAATAATTCTCAGCATCTGACGCCAAACCTTGCTTAAAACAAAGTTGCCAAGCTGCATCAGACACGAGACCTTTTCTCTCGTCTCAGACTGGGAAGTGAGTTTTTGAACTTCTTCCTTCAATATTTTAATTCTTTCATTTGGTTTCTTGAATTCAGCAATAATCTCAACGAGATTAAGTAAGTCACCTTTACTCTGGCTTTTGTTCCAACAATATTTCTCAGGCAGGCTTTTGATTCCAAAATATACTTCCAAGCTTTTTCTTGGTTGAGTTGAACATACCATCTGATGGCTAGTTTATTGTAAAGGGCACAATCTAAAGATAATTCTGCGTCATTTGTGCTGCCTGTGGTAATCTTTAAGCCTTTTTCGAGGTAGCACACTGATTCCTCTGCAGAATATCCCATTTCGATGCTCAACAACGCCAACTGCAAATAAGTATCCTTAATTTTTAATCTAGCGGTAGGTCCGCCATATGATTCAAACAGTTGCACCAACGACTCAAAGTAAAATTTGCTTTCCCCATACATGAACAAAAATAATGAGGTTTTCCCAAGAAAATATAACGATGTCATCACATTTACGTTTGGAACCATTCCGTAGAGGAGGTGTTCCATACTCAGTGCTCTTTGAAAACAACGATAAGCTTTGCCAATTTTATCTCTGTTAAATAGAAACTCACCAAGTCTATTTAACGACCCAATACCTTTAGTGCTCAAGCCTTCATCATCAATCAAAGATGTCATTCCAGAAGTTATGGCGTCAATATGTTGCTGAATAATAGTCTTGGGAAAATGTACAAACGCAATTTTCATCATGAGTAGTTCTCCTGCAGCACTGTATTTTCTTTCCTTTACCGTCAGATATGCCATTGCAATCTTTTCCGCCAATTCAAAATATTTAGGACAATTAAAAAACGAGAAAGCCGAAAGCAATACTTCTAGCAATTGCCGATTTTCCTCAAAGTCCAAACGATTGACAAATGGCGTAATTTCCTGATGCGGCTCAGACCAACTTTGGTTTATCTTGCACAACAAGGTATCTAAATTTTCTTGAATTTTACCCATCTTTTTTGTGCCCTTTTCAATAAAGAGTGCAATACTTATACGACGGATTTCAATACTTAGGTTTTCTAGGTCCTGTTCAAGAGCACGGTCGTAGCATTCAAGAGCTTCGTCGTAGTTTAACAAGCAACAATATATATGACCCATCGTAACGTCAGAATCGTCATAGAATGAACTATGTGTAAGCGACGTCGGTATGTTTCCGGCTGCCTTCAACTTTTTCAACTCTTTATACAAAGGAATGGCAATGAAGAAAATGTGAAACAGTTCTTCATTATTTGGCATATAGAAAACAGAAGTCAACTTCCCTGTTTCCTCGCTTGAACTTGCCATGAGCTGTTCCCCTTGTTTTCCAGTTTTAAGGTAAGTACTTAATCTCAGCTTAATTGCAATGGTCGAAGCACTTGTGAAATTATCTCTTGCTTCCGATGAAATTATTTCCCTCTCGCACAGTTTGTCAAGTATTGCAAAAGTTCCGCTTGCATCAACTTCATAACATTTCGCCAGTGCAGAAAATACACGATCTGTTAAACGATAAATTTCCTTTTTGACATCATAAATTTTCCCATCGTCCAGGACGTTATTGCCTGTCATCACATCCCCATAAAGAGACACATCTTCGCGAAGAGTTCTCAGCCCTCGGCAGGATCCCCGGGTAGGCCAAGCACGACACGAAGCATCATGTTCACAACATTCTGAATCACAAGGAAAAGACAAGATTTTAGCCATGTCCTTTCGATAAGCATCAACCAATATGTGTTTATCCGGTTGCAGAGGGGAAAAAGTCAACAAGGTGTCTCCTAATTTCCAATTCTTGCGATACCAATCGTTGTTCTGGAAATCTGCCATTTTCTCTGGTGTATGAATCAGCTCAAATTCCGGCGCATTTCCTAAAGGCATATTTCCTAATGGCGTCTTGCACGCTTGTGGAAGAAAACCATCAACCGAAACTCCTTTTCTTGTTATGTCATCATAAAACCAGCCATTAATTGCTTCGATGTTCATACTGGGTAAAATGGTTTCTCCAAGGTTGATTAACTAAAATAAGGTAAAGATTGCTCAAATATATTTCCTTCTTTGGTATGCTTCGTAACAGGATTTTGTCCGCTTATATTTTGTTTTTCACCCGTTTTTTCATCACTAAATGTCTTCCTTTCTCCTTTCTTTACTCTATACTTTTTCACTTATTCACTATCTCCCCATTTTCGTGCCCTCAACTATTGTATTGATTTCAAATAAGGTTTCCACGACATGTTGCGAAATTCGTTGGGAAATTGCAAACTTCCAAAAGTAATTCAAAACTTTGGAACGAAGTTCGCTATACTTTGAGACTATCTTAAAACGGGGATAGGCAACCAGAGAATAGGGCAAAACATATGGGCGGAGGAAAATATATTTAGAAATCATTCGTAATGGATATTTACCGAGACACGGAACGTCGAGGCAAATATCGAATAGTGTAAATCGAATAGACTAAAACCCAACAAGTTTTGTTGCGTCCGGAGTCAAACAGAGTAAAATCGTCTGGTGTTAGACAGAGTAAAATAATAAAGCATTGCGCAATGCGACTCAATGAGTTAACAAGACACATATAGGTAGATGGGTTAAACATTCCTTTGCCGTACACACGAGAAAATAAAATTTGTGAAGGTAAACTTTCTCATCTGTACGAGGGTTAACATGACTACTGAATATTATTATATGACTATACAAAGACTTTGCCTACCTGCAAATGAACCAGGTTTGTTAAATTTCGAAAGAAAACTTTACATTCTTCCTCTTCTGAGTTTGTGAGAATGGCCCATTCGAAATCGGAGTATGGCGTCATTTCATTTCTTGCTAAAGACCCAAACACAATGACTTCATGATCACAAGGTGGTGTTCCAAGTAACTCTAAACATTCGTTTATTACCGCTGCAAAGAACTGCTTCATTCTAACCGAAATTGTATCAGATAGTCTTTCTATATCCTCGGTTTCATCTTTCAGCATCTGTCGCACATCACATTTGTTTAACGATTCTTTGTTCTTAGACGATCTACGGCACTCTATCTACTCTAACGATTGTTTTACATCATTCCTTAAAATTTTCAGCTCATTTTGTTTACGCTCTGAATCAAATTTACAGTGAAGAGGATTTCCTCCAACCATTTCATCCATGTTGTCTTGGATATCCAGTAGCTTACAAGAGACGATTTTCGACAGCGTTTTCGACAGTTCGCCTTCCATGTCCTCTGTTTTTAAAAAGTTGCGCAGAAAGTTATACAATGCTGCAGCTTGAAGCAGAAAATGTTGTCTCTGTGCCAACTCCAAATTCTTGCCTTCTGCTTTCCTCTCTAGGACTTCAGCTAAGTAACGATACGGCTCTGGACTTCTTTTGTGTGAGTTGTCCAACATAACTGCGCGAATGCCCTGAATCGAGTAATTTACAGCGACCTCTAATTCTCCTTTTGCCAAAGCCCGTTTTGCAGTTTCAATCAGCTCGGCTAGATCTGACTGTTAAACAAATATATTTTTATATTTTAAATATTTGGTTACGAACCATCTTTTTGTCATCACAAAAGCCTTTTCTTCGAAAGTTTCAAAACAAATTTTCTTCGACAAGGTTTTTCTCAAGTACATAGCAACTTTGGCTGTTTTCGATCATGGATAATTTGTCACAAATCGTGAAAACTTGCAACAAATTGGACTTGGACGCAAACAACAACAAAAATTGTCACAAAAAGTTGTTGAACAGCTGTCCACCACCTTGGAACAATTTTTGACCTGAGTAAATGTGCTTAAAGGAGGGTCTTAATGAGGGTCTTTGGGTGTCAGTTGTCAGCTAAAATTTAAGCCAGTTGTCAGTTGTCAGTACGATATTTTGCAAGCTGTCAGTAGTCAGTTACTGCAAAATGCTGACTCATCATTTTCTCATCATTTCTCAGTTGTCAGTTAGGATATTTTGTCAGTTGTCAGTCAAAAATTCAGGCAAATGTCAGTAGTCAGTTAACCCCATTCAGACCCTCTTAAAGAACTATTCCTGGCACTGTCTTTGCCATGGAAGAGCATGCCCCCGGACAACCCCCCCCCCCCCCTCCACCTGGAGATCTTCGCGGCGCGAGTGTTTCCACCCTAGTTTTTTCAGGCTGGCGGCGCCACTGATTCCTGAGTCACTGAATAGCGCTAGCAACAAATAGATATTTAAAATGTTGTCACCCAATTCCAAATTTGAAACAGCTACAAAGGTCTATAGTTTTGATGTCAGGATGTTAGGGTTTGTAATCCAAGTGAGAATATATACATTTTAAGACCTAAACAGGAACGACTGCGAAAATGCAGCACAAGGTCCTCTGGTAGGAATCGAACCTACAGCCCTGCGATTCCGGAGCAGCGCTCTAACTAACTGAGCCTCTGTAGCTCAGTTGGTTAGAGCGCTGCTCCGGAATCGCATGGCCGTAGGTTCGATTCCTACCAGAGGACCTTGTGCTGCATTTTCGCAGTCGTTCCTGGTTAGGTCTTAAAATGTATATATTCTCACTTGGATTACAAACCCTAACATCCTAATATTAATTCCACCAAGTGAAGTGCAAGAACTAAGTTTTGATGTCACCATATTGAGCGGTGCATGGCTGTCGAGATAAACACTATGCCTAGCCTGGCTTGTGACATTGCTCGTAACATGCATATCCACAATAATCCAAGATGGCGGAGAACTTAAACATTCAGCTTTCGAGGGTGGAAGTGGAATATTGAATACTGGGTTTTAAAGTAGTTTGAATTGAATAATTGTTAGAAATATAAGCACAAGTCATTTCCCCGTTTGAAACAGGTTGGCTTCCTTAGTTGTGGTTCGTTGCTGCCACTGAATTTTTTACCATTTACAACAGTTTTTAATATAAATCAAAGATTTTGTTTTTTGTTCATCGTGGCACTAAGAAAGTGTGCTTGGTGTTCATCAATCGGCTAAGGACCACTTTTAATTACCTTGCCAGTATTTCCATCTTTGACTTTGTTGTCTTTATGCGAGAATGAGACAATAAAATCTAAAAATACAGTATATAAATGATGGTTTTTGTGGATTTTGCGGTCATTATATTATGCAAAGAGCGACTAAAGGTACAATTCGCATTCTGGAGTATGCTATCGAGTAAGCACGCATACGGAGGTTGTATTTCAAATTTCGCCATAAACGTAACGAAGAGGAATTGCGGTTATGTTTTCATATCACGCAATCACGAAACCTCACCCAATCCCCATCCCTAACCCTAACCTCCTAACCAATCATATTTCGTGACTGCGTGACATGAAAATGAAACCGGAATTGTAGTGTCAGCACTAATTTTCATACGCCAGAATACGAATCGTAGCCGACAAATCGCAGCGTGTAGACGTACCTTAATATTCAAGCAAGCAGTCAAAACGAGCTGCTGGACACAGTACTTATAGTTTTCAACAAATACTTTAGCTAATTCTCATGGCGAAGCAATTTACTTCAGTGGTTTTTAAAACATTTCCAAGAATTTGTCGCTATTTTAACTGATAGTTCAGATACAAGAGAAGCGAACACAATCGTTGAGATGCTCAGAGCGTATAAGATGTGGTTTTGGGTTCATTCAAATGAGCGTAACATAAAAGTATTCAATTTACGCGTGGCTATAAATTGTGGTTAATGGATTAATATGTTCAAGACTTAGCTTGGAGAAGGATGAGATATCTTTTGATACGACGATATTTATAAAATGTCTAAAGAATTGAACTTTGGCAACTTAGCATGTGAACAACTGATGCAGTCCTCAATCTAAAACCAATGAGAAATTCTGCTGAAGGTTTTTCCTTCACGTTTATATACACAATGGTCCTCTCTTCTCCAAGAATTTCTGTTACAGTTCATGTGCGTTTTGGTCATTTCAAAAGTGTATTAAAAGTGTATAAAAACCTCTGTTAAACAACAACACTTCGCCACCTGAAGTGCATCTTACAGGTCATCTAAGTCATAAATATGACCAGAATGACCTGACCTAGAGACTCGATGGGTCAGTCTTTTCATAGTTGAGTACCCTCTACCGATAGTTAGTCACCAGTCCTACTAGTACTCAATATCAACGAGCGGACTGCCCTGAACGGGGGTTCCCTCTTCCTCTGTTATCTAGAGGTTCACCTGTTCCTCTAGAAAAACCTACAGTTTTTGCATGCTCTGTCATGTCTTGAGTACCGATACTGCCTCAGTATGCGAGCCCGTAGAGCGAGGTTTGTATACAAAAAAACCGAGGTCCGATATTTCTTTGTAAAGACCGAGAAAGGAAGATTAATGAAAAGTTTATTGCGGCATTTATAGGCATTATACTTGAAACAAACAAGGAAACATGATTTGAAATGCATATTAATTAGTAGCGTGGTACACATTTGATCGAAGAAAACAAAAATTACCAACGTATTCCTTCCCTTCACTTAAAACCATTCGCAGATATCTTATTAATAACAAATTAAGTTGTAATTTTCAAATTTTCTAATAGTTTTGCTGTTTTGTTTTAAAATGCATGCGTTCGTTTTTACGTAATGGACCGCCGGTCATTACGGGAAATAATGAACCGCTTAAAGTGCTTGTCAGCCAATCATAGTCCGCCATTACACTAGCCTTTCCCAGGCTTGCCCGATTTTAGGGACCGCCTGCCATGCAGGCTACTATTTCACAGGAACTGATGCTTGCCATACTGTATAATAAACTACATTAATGAGGATACTGAGCATAACTGAAATTTGCAGTTGCAACTCTGCTTTTTGGCATATTCTACTAAATAAACATACTTGATTTTGAAGAATAACGCGCATACTATGTTTCAGTACTAAAGTAACACATTATAACGAAGCAGTGACTGAACATCCACAGGCTGTGAATATGTCTATTTTTAATTAATAGCATTTTTTTAAGTGATGAGGTATAAAGTATCAGGCCTTTTCATATATTTGTGAATGAATACACTCAATCACATAGGCAAGGAATAAAAAATCGCAAACAACAATCGCCCTAGACTTGCTCCAAGTCTCTCTTTCATTGTCATATAGTATCGATCCACTATAGTGTTATATGACAATGAAAGAGAGACTTGGAGCAAGTCTAGAATCGCTCGTGCAAGTGAACATATAATTGGCGAGGCCGAGGGGGAACCAGTTCTTCTGTCTTCGCGTTTCTTTTGCCTCGCCGTTCTTTACGAGTCTCTGGAATGAGGGTAAGGCCAACGTAATAGGCAATTCCAGCTTTTAGTTTATGCGTGCAGGGGGTGATGGGAAGTAAGGTGTCACATTGCTGATTATGCTGAAAAGATAAATATGGCGGCCGTGTAAACACGGAATGATGGCTTATATTTGTAAATATTGAAATATTTCGGTTGTTTCGGTGTAGTTTTTATTGAAAATTTTCAGCACGACCAGCAATATGATACCTACTTATGATACCTATTGAACACTCGGTGTTGACTTTGGAACATGCACAGTTAACGAAAATGTGTTACCTTTTTGAGAGCCTTGCAAATAGTATCTGCCTCCCTGCAGCCAAGACAAAGTTGTTTCAAAATCTAAATATTACCAAATATAAATGAAATCAAATGCCTATGAACCAAACAATCTGTGTCTGTACTGTAGAGCCGCTCATTCTAAAGTGGCCAATAAATTTGTGCAATGTACATTTTAGACCATAAGACCAAAATAAAGTGAATATCAGTATTTTAGGCCTCTCACTCGATATAACCACAGAGAAGAGATATACAGAGAGGAAACTGATACTCGATAACCTGAATTTTTGTGTCACACGTTCCACGCGCCACGCAAAATCTTCCAGCCAGTGCCGTCGCTGAAATTTCATAACAAAATATAGGGAATACGCCGTTCGAAAGGTGAAAATCGCTTTTTTTTAAAAAAAAAGAGGCACCCATGGACATTTTGTTTAATAAATTATTGTAGAATAACTTTATTTTGCAAAAGTTTGTTTTTTTCCCTATCTACTCCTTATTAAAATCGTGAAATGCACTGGCTGGGAATTTCAGATGCTCATGTATAAAAACAAAGCATCGAATGATATAAATTCCTCAAAACTGATAATTCTTGCATAGAAAAAACGTAAATACTTCTACAATATGCATAATTTTATTCCTCTGCATTATCAAAATTTGATAAAATAGTGAATTAATCTATTTTTATATAGTTAATAGACTTAATATGTCGGCGTGACATAATTTGCCTGCGTGTTCAGTCCTCTCTGTATATCTCTCCTCTGTGATGAACTAAATATTGAAGGGTTTTAACCGAGGCCAGAGGGCCTGGTAACTGCTTCTGGTTTGGCCTAATAAATGTATAAAGTTAATTTACACTTCAAATTTTCATCTATAAAACCCTTCAACAAAATAGCGAACAAAACAAGTGAAATTGAACAGATTTATTTAAATGCATACCACGATCACGTATAGTTTTTGATCCCCGAATGACGAGAGTTAGAACGCTCATCATCGAATTTGATCTCTAATGAAGCCTAAAAATTGAACAACAGTTTAATCATAGGATCCGAAGCAGTTCAAAGACAGAACCATTACCATTGACAAGACTGACAACAACACCATGGGGAAGCCAACATACCATGCACCGGCAAATATACTGTCCTTTCACAGCATGGAAACAACACATACCACGTTTCCTTAAGTTCCTTAGACTGAAAAATTAACCATGCAAAATACTTTGCCAACGTGTCAAAATACCCTTTAGACTAATAAAAAATTTTCAAAGACGTTTTATTTGAGACCATTCAACAATTGCGTCTTCAAACTTTGGGCTCTTTTCTTATAGAAGCAACAAATTAGGGAAGGTTCATTTTATATGTATTCAGTTACGTTTGACTTCTTATGATATTGAATGCCAAATCTGATCTATTAGTGAACTTGTTCTCCTTTATTGATGACATTTGGTAGACCTTCCCACTAGATCACATGCTAAAATGCTCTTACTCTTCGGTATTTGTGAAAATCTAGCTGCAATAGATCTACTTTATTAGCTAGGGAATTGTATACATCAAATAATACTAAAGACATATTAAAAGTGCAAAACAGAAACCGAAAAATGAAAACATCTTGCAAACCCGGCCAAGATATATGGGCAGGGGATGTGATGAAGGACCGGTGTAGGGGACAAATTACATTTTACGTTACCTAAAAGTGTTGTTTTATCACAAGTAAATTCAAGTTTAGGCAGGTGTTTCTTTCGTAAAAATATAATCGACGATGAGAGGGCATGGTAATGCTTTCCCAACGCTATCATGTATTTTATTAAAGTTAAAACGTGGTTGCAACACTCATCAAACCTTTAGTTTGTCTGCCTACTCGATCTCATCAACTTTCGTCCTCGCTTCACTGGGCTCAAAGAATTTAGGAGTGCCAATTCTATATCCGTCTTATTTCTGTGACTATGTTTAAACTTTAAAGCAATCAAAGATCCACAGTTTTATATTACAACTGTACTACAAGCAAATATAATTGACCAACAAAGACAATTACAAAGCTTGCAGTTACAGAGTGTACAAACCTAAGCACAGAAATGAAGATATATTCAACCCACGTACCTATTATATCCCAAATTGAGGTCCTTATCCTCTTAAGGTGGCTCCCTAGGGTTTTGTTTCCGAGGGTTACGTTCTTCGTATATATGTAAACTAAAACTCGTATGACTTCAAAATACGAACGAACGTTGTGTTTTATACGGAACTCTTTTTTGAAACAAAAGTGTGAACTTTGCTTTAGTTGAAAGCATAAAAGAGTTGTAAAAGCCAAAACGATACTTGGATGTGATGTTTCAAAAGAAGATAATGTAAACTTGTTTTTTTTCAAGCGGTATTCTGGATGTTTTTTGAACCGCCGTACGCGAGGTTCGATCGTGAACATTGGGATATAAAGTTTCCTCAAGAATTTCCAGTGTTTTCTCCACAATCTAGCAGCACTTATGACAATATAGATGACTTAAATAATGAGCCCTCTACGGGTGAAATGAGCAGGGCCGAAACTCCAAACATACCGCTATAAAAACTGAAATTTGAACGGGCATTTTGCGAAAACATCCGACGATAGTACTCGCACGGGACGAACTTTGACAAACATTTTTCAAATTAATACCAAGAAGTCATAACCGGTAATTACCTAAATATCTTTGCCATTTTTACATGTATAATCCACGCTTAGTTGACCACTAACCGACACAGTTATAAACAGTATATCAAACATAATTTATATTTTGTGATTTCAAAAAAGTCATGCCTTGTTGTTAATATGCAGAATGCATGTACACGTCAGTTGGGGTATTAAATTGTTCGCGTAAAAATTTAGTAAAAATTGCCAAAATTAATCCCAAATTTCTCCGTTATCCTTCGGTAAAATTTTTTAAAACATTGCACATTTTTTAATATCGGTACAACAAGTGCAATATCCTTTTCTCTTAAAATTAAATCCATAGGAAAATTTTTAATATTGATTTTTGACGTTTTTTAAATTTTCTAAGAAACGTATCGATTTAATTTTTTTAAATTGAGGGGAAAAGTTCATTATACAAGTATTATCTTTTATGCAAAGTTTTAAAAAATTTCACCGAAGGAACTTTTTAAAATATGACCTGAAAAAGACAAATTTTGAGCTTTATTCTAAGCATGCTGTTGCCATGACAACATATTTTTAACACAAAAGTAGCAATTTGCAATGTTCAGGAGAACATTGTCAATGTGTCCAATAAATTTCGTCTTCATATCATGTAAAGTAAAGAAACAAGAATCTCCTGAATACTATAGTGTAGTAAATTAAAAAACCCTAGGGAGCCACCTTAAAGTCCACTCGTACTGACGCTTGATAATAAAAAACTCTCATGAACATGAACCGTTCGTTCTCGATTCAAGTTTTTCTTTCAGACTGCACACGGAAACCTTTATCTCAAGCTGTGTGCGTCTACACAGTTTCCCTGTAACTGTGACAATGTTTTATTTATTATCAGTTATGACATGATTTGTTCACCTGAACCGCAATATTTAATATCCAATGGAAAATCAGTGTCCAATACTCCAATAGAAGAAAATCGATGTCCAATGGCAATGGCTTTGAGTTAAAGTTAAAAGGGCATGCAGCGGGTGATTTTCATAATATAACAGCAATAACGGTAAAAGCAATCGACAAAATATTCAATGCCATTTCATTAACATTAAATGGACGAAATAAAACGATTTAGACACTTCTAGCTATTGTGATAAGCAATTTATGCAGTACATGCATAAATATAGATTTACAATACAGTATCAGCCGCAATCAATATTACTGAAAAACAAAACTGATAATGCATGTACTCTATAATATGCATATTCGACATATGACAGTGTACATTATTTCGAATAAAATTATACTATATAAATCTCTACCAGACAAATTCTTCAAGGAGTTAAAAACTTTCAGTCCTTTAATATTAAACTGAAGTTTTAAGCGAAATGACTTGGAAGGCTGAGAAATGATAGAATCATATATTGAAATAGTCGATAAATATCGAAATTTCAAAAAATATCGATATTCGATATCTCGAATATCGAAAACACTGAAAAATATCGAAAGTTTTATCGAAATTATTCCCTGTAAAATTTAGAAAACACGCACGGGCAAGTGTTTATCACAAAAGACCATATACAGGGTGTATAAAAAATACGCAACCTCGGAATTTCCTAAGAAATCACTTTGCAATTCTTAAGCATAAAAGATTTTAGGCCCCTGGGAATTGAAATCGAATTGCTAATAGATCATATTACTGTTGTTGTCATTAAATAAATGCATAAATTTTGCTTTATGCACTCGTGTGTGCACTAATGTTGACAGTTATGCTATTTTAAATTCCCAGGCACCTAAAATCTTTTGTCCTTAAAACAATGTCGATTTCTTGGGAAATTCCGAGGTTGCGGTTTTTTTTATATACCCTGTACAGGGTGTCTCAAAAAAACCCAAAATCATTGAAATAACGTATTGTTCGAATTTCAATGCCGTAACACAAAGGATTTTGACAGGGTGATTAATTTGTTTTAAAAAATTAAAATATCTTTGTAAAGTGAACGTTTGTTTGCTCATGGGAATTTAAAAATGCTTCGTAAATTGTAATATGCGTAATATGCATTCGTGGGTTTAGTACTTTATGCCTGACATAACAAGTTTACGCTGAGTATTACCATTCATTATAGCAGTTATGTCAATCTTTTATGCACTCGTGGGATTAACTTAGTGCTAGGGCATTGAATATCGAACAATACGTCAATTTCAATGATTTTGGTTTTTTTTGAGACACCCTGTACAATCGGACTACCGACCACTTGAAAACAATTGATGACTCTTAAAAAATTTATTAATAATTCACAAGGAAAATACAAAAGAAGTGAATGTTTAATCAATGACAATGTTTGTAAATCGGATAAAGATTTGTCCTGATTTACATAAACTTCAGCTTTGATTTCCTCGGCTTAGACAATGTTTATTTTTAAAATTACTTCGCCAATGAACTCATAAGATGGGTCATTTTTTAAGTACGATAAAACATTCGCATCCGATCTGTATCTGATATACAAACTCTCGCCTTCGGCTCGATCGAGTTTTTATATCAGATACAGATCGGCTGCTCATGTTTTATCTAGTACATATATACAGGGTGTCCCAAAAAAACCGAAAACTATTGAAATCACCAATAACAATTTAATTGTTAGAATTTGAATGCCTTAGCGCTCTGTTGGTTCCCACGAGTGTATTAATGATTGACATAAGTAAATTTTATGCATAAAGAAACTGTTTAAGAAGCTGTTTTTAATTCCCAGGAGCAGAAAATCGCGCACTTTACCAGGAGATATTCCTAACTAAATTCTAATACATGCACCTTGTCAATATTTTACGCATCATTACGTCCAGCTGTTTGTTAGGGCATTCAAATTTAACAATTAAGTGATTTCAATAGTTTCCGTTTTTTTTGGGACACCCTGTATAAAGATGGAATGTGCACTTATTTGAATATTAAGTGTAAATAGCAAATAAATCTTTTTAACATTCATAAAATGACCATATTGTATAGTAAATTAACCTTTTGATATTCGACCAGTTTCGCGTAACTTTGTTTTTTTGCTGTTTTTTACGTGGTAAACATTTATCTTGCTGTTTGTGATGCGGTATATACTAAACCACATTTCATAATTTTGCTAATTTGAATATTTTCGATATAGTCGATATTTTTTTTCGATATCGATATATCGAAATTTTCCAGTACCGCAACAGCTCAGGCCGCATTACCAAATATACACAACACATCTCCAAAATACCAAGTTATTTATTGCGCATTATCAAAATCAATTCATACAAGTGCAATTTTCAAATCACCATACCATTAATTTGTCAAACATTTTCCAGTCATTATACCCCCTGTTCTCCGTCCCAGTACTTCTCTGGAGTCATTCTCTCAATATAGAACAAATTCATCATTAAATATCTAAATTTCTTGCCAATATTCGCCAAGGCAGTCATGTCTTCTTGTTCCAATTTCACGTTGTATGTTTCTAGGTTTTGTTTAATGCGGCCTTCGTTGACCGACTTGGGTAGAACAGGACAACCATAGTTCACTCCCCACGCTAGTAACACCTAAATAATTGATAAAGCTCATTGTAGAATACAACCTACACTGGACTACCACGTTTGAGATATCTATTTCAGGTAGTTCAGACACAAACCACGACAGCTCATTGTAGAATACTATCTACACTGGACCACCACGTTTGAGATATCTTTTTCAGGTAGTTCAGACACAAACCACGACAGCTTATTGTAGAATACTACAGTACCTACACTGGACCACCACGATTGAGATTTTTCAGGTACTTCAGACACAAACCACGACAGCTTATTGTAGAATACTAGACTCAATACTACCTACATAGAACCAACACGTTTTAGATATCTTTTTCAGGTAGTTCAGACACAAACCACGACAGCTTATTGAAGAATACTGCCTACACTGGACTACCACGTTTGAGATATCTATTTCAGGTAGTTCAGACACAAACCACGACAGCTCATTGTAGAATACTATCTACACTGGACCACCACGTTTGAGATATCTTTTTCAGGTAGTTCAGACACAAACCACGACAGCTTATTGTAGAACACTACCTGCACTGAACCACCATGTTTGAGATGTATATTTCAGGTAGTTCAGACACAAACCACGAGAGCTTATTGTAGAATACTACCCACACTGGACCACCACGTTTGAGATATCTTTTTCAAGTAGTTCAGACACAAATCACGACAGGTCATTGTAGAATACTACCTACACTGGACCACCACGTTTGAGAAGTTTTAAACAAACCTGTGCTGGGCTACAGTTGCGTTTCGCTGCAATTTCTTTGACCAGAGGTTCATCCATAAGAACAGGATCAGCTTCGCCACTGCCAGGACGGTCAGGAGACCCCAAGGAAGAATACGCCGTAATGATAATTCCTGTAAGAATTAAAGTAATTTTGTTGTTTTTAAGAAATCTGATTATTTAAAATGAATTAAGGTTGATTATCAAACACCCAAGATTATGAAACACGATTAACAGACCTTTCTCCTCGCAGAATTTCTTAAGTCCAGGCTGGGGCAAGAATGGGTGAAGTTCAACTGAAGAAAAAAACACAAACAAACTTCACGTTGGAGGCACGAAGAATAGCTCTATCTGTTCTAAACCGTTTTTGCTAGAGATCCAGTAAAGATCATCTCTTATTAATCCAGTATTACTACAGAAGGAAACCTAAACTACTGTAAACTAACTTTAGTTATACTAGATAGCTCTATCAGTTGTAAACTGTTCTTCCTAGAGGTCCAGTGAAGATCATTTCTTATTGATCCAGTGTTACTACAGGAGGAAACCTAAACTAAACAAACTTTATTTATACTGGATAGCTCTATCAGTTCTAAACTGTTCTTCCTAGAAGTCCAGTAAAGATCCAGTATTAATCCAGATCAAGTCATCACCTTGATTAGTGCCAGGGACAATCTTGGCTGTTTCCAGAAGCGCTGCAATTTTGGCTGATGTTAAATTTGAAACCCCAATTGCTTTACAAAGCCCTTTATGTACCAATTCCTCCATTCCCTGAAAAAAATCCGTTTCAAAAATTTTAAAAGGTTGCCATGTGAAAAGGGACAACTGGCCTCTGTAGCTCAGTTGGTTAGAGCGTTGCAGCGGGATCACAGGGCCGTAGGTTCGATTCCTGGAATTTTTCGCAAAAGTCTTGTTACGACACACTGGCAACAGTTCACAACAATTACAACAGTGTCGTCGAGTCAGATTCGAGTTCTATCTGGACGACAGTTGCAAGACAGTATTCATTACACAAAATTTTATAATTCTCTCAAATTTTCAGCCGCCAAAGTCAGAGTTGCCAAATTAAATAGAGAATAATGCATGGTTGCGTGGAAATCATGCACCCATGTATTTTTCTGTTTATTATATAAACAAAATTCGGTGAAAAACAATAAAACGTCTGTGGCAATGCGTTTTACAACAAATGATATTTTCACACGTAAATATATCGTATTTTTTACGTGTGTTTAAATACCATTTTTCTCAGTGGCCAAAAACTATATATACTGTAACACTTATGTTTATATAATAAATAATCTTCTTCACCAATGTGTAAGCTACAAGAAAATCCTAGTTGGAAGCTTTTAACGAAAAATTCCAGCAGAGTATAACTTTCAGTACCTTCCACGTCTCACTCAGTCTCTTCTTGTTATAGCCAAGTACATTTTTACGATCTTCAGGTGTTGTCGGGAATCGCATGCCGTTCGCAAATGTGCAGGGATGATGTATCTAAGAAAGAGATATATAATTATTTACAAAAAATTCTTCCGATATAGTTTGTATCGCCACGAGTACGTCGACAACTAAAAACGCACAAGTTGTTACAGATCTGCAAACAAATTGTAAGCAAGGTTGTTTTCAAGCCGATGTCAGGATGTGTTCGCACTGCTTGTTCCCAGTTGTTGTGACAAGTCTGGAACAAGTTGTTATCACCTTGTTACAAGGTTGATGACGGTAACAGACTTGCTACAAGTTGTTCCAACAAGACTAATACAGGCTGTTCGTAACAAGTTGCTACGAGCTTGTTGTCATCAACTTGTTAAAAACTTGTTACGTGCAGACGATATCAGACTTGTTGGAACAACTTGTAGCGAGTCTGTTGGCCTCATCAACCTTGTTACAAGATGATAACAACTTGTTCCGGACTTGTCAACAACTCGTGACTGAACGATATACCGAAATCCAGTATTCTTTATAGCCCCTTGAGGTCCAGTAAGGATCATCTCTTATTGATCCAGTGTTACTACAGGAGGAAGCCTAAACTAAACTAACTTTATTTATACTGGGTAGCTCTATTAGTTCTAAATTGTTCTTCCTAGAGGTCCAGTAAGGATCATCTCTTATTGATCCACTATTACTACAGGAAGAAACCTAAACTAAACTAACTTTATTTACAGCCACAAACACCATGGCTATAAGGCATACCAAAATCCAGTATCCTTTATAACCACAAACCGCTGTGGCTATAAGGTATACCAAAATCCAGTATCCTTTATAAACACAAACCGCTGTGGCTATAAGGTATACAAAAATCCAGTAACCTTTATAACCACAAATTGCTGTGGCTATAAAGTATACCAAAATCCCGTATCCTTTATAGCCACAAACCACCATGGGCATATAAGGCATACTGAAAACCAGTATCCTTTATAGCCAGAAATCGCCGTGGCTATAAGGTATACCAAAATCCAGTGTCCTTTATAGCCACAAACCACTGTGGTACAAACATGCCAAAATCTGGTATCCTTTATAGCCAAAAACCGTTGTGGCTATAAGGTGTACCAAAATCCAGTATCCTTATAGCCACAAACTATCATGGCTATAAGGTTTACCGAAATCCAGTATCCTTTATAGCCACAAACCGCTGTGGCTATAAGGTATACCGAAATCCAGTACCTGGTGTCCTTTATAGCCACAAACTGCCGTAGCTATAAGGTATACTGATATCCAGTATCCTTTATAGCCACAAACTGCCGTAGCTATAAGGTATACTGATATCCAGTATCCTTTATAGCCACAAACTGCCGTAGCTATAAGGTATACTGATATCCAGTATCCTTTATAGCCACAAACTGCCATCGCTATATTATCAAGTATCCTTTATAGCCACTAACTGCTGTGGCTATAAGGTACAGTATGCAGTAAACAGGCATAATTTATAGTACATTATATCTTGGTAAATATATGAGCATGCTGATAAGCATACTGGATTTTGGTATATACTGTATATGAGCATGCTCATGAATATAATCGATTTTGGTATATAAGTGGGTATATGCTCATATATACCCACGTCATGCTATAGCCAAAGAGCCACAGGTGTTTCAATGCAAACTGTTATGTGTCAGTTTAGTTTAAGTTTCCTCCTGTGGTAACACTGGATCAGTAAGAGATGATCCTTACTGGACCTCTAGGAAGAACAGTTTAAAGCTGATAGAGCTATCCAGTATAAATAAAGTTAGTTTAGTTTAGGTTTCCTCCTGTAGTAACACTGGATCAGTAAAGATGATCCTTACTGAACCTCTAGGGAGAACAGTTTTGAGAACTGATAGTGGTATCCAGTATAAATAAAGTTAGTTTAGTTTAGGTTTCCTCCTGTAGTAACACTGGATCAATAAGAGATGATCCTTACTGGACCTCTAGGAAGAACAGTTTAGAACTGAGAGAGCTAACCAGTATAAATAAAGTTAGTTTAGTTTAGGTTTCCTCCTGTAGTAATTAACACCGGATCAATAAGAGATGATCCTCACTGGAGCTCTAGGGAGAACATTTTAGAACATAACTGATAGAGCTACCAACTGCAAAATTCAAATTCAAATGAATTACCAAATATAAATCCAAGTATTCAAGTTGCAAATTTTTCAAAGTTTTTTGACAGGCTGCCAAGACGTCCTCTCGTGCATGGCTGTTACACCTACAATAAATGGAAATAATTCTCAAATGTCAATTGTGCATATATGGTTGTAAAATGTATTTCTTGTAGAAAAAATACATTCCATACCATAGTTTTGAGGTAACAAAGACGTCCTCTCGCTTCATTCCAAGTTCTTTCAAGACCTCGGTAAGAGCTTGTCCGACCTCGGCTTCGTTACCATAACCTTCAGCACAATCAATGTGCTTGTACCCTGCTCTGATCGCTGCTTTGACAGCACCGCCCACCTCGCCTGGCTTTGATTTCCATGTTCTGCATGAGATAAAGTGATTTAGGGCTCATTAATATTTACTTACTGTAGCTGAGTTTGTATGAACTAAACTAACTTTATTTATACTGGATTGTTCTTTCAGTTACAAACTGTGCATCCTAGAGCCCCGTGGTAATAATCATCTCTAATTTGATTCAGTGTTACAGTACCACAGGAGGAAACCTAAACTACACTAACTTTATTTATACTGGATAGCTCTACCAGACAGGTCCAGTTCTGAACTGTTCTCCCCAGAGGTCCAGTAAGGATCATCTCTTATTGATCCAGAGTGAGTGTTACTACAGGAGGAAATCTAGACTAAACTAGCTTAATTACTTATACTGGATAGCTCTATAATATCAGTTCTAAACTGGTCTTCCTAAAGGTCTAGTAAGGATCATGTCTTAGTTATTGTATTCCGTAAACTTATCTTTCCTTTTTAACTCTTGATCATGTATTATGATTCCCAAGGCCTTTAGGCCTTAACAAATTTAAATTGTTTTGTTCACCATTTCAAATGCAGTAAACAATGACAGCATATTGCACAATATTACAATTCTATTGTGAAACTATGTATAATGCAATTTAATACATCATTACACTCAATTGAAGCAAACTATTTTCCTAAAAAAACTTATAATTGCTCACCCCAAGCCAATTGAAGGCATTACTGCTCCAGTATTAATTTTAAATGAGCGAACCTTTTGAAAAAGAGCAAAATATCATGTATAAATTGCGCGCAATAGAAATACATGTAATTAATAGGATTGAAATCCTGAAGCTATCAGTGTGAAAATAATGCCAATACTATTCATTACAAGCAGAATTTCCTTGTATTTGGAGGCAAATTAACAAACGGGAGATGCAGTTTAATTCGCTTGCCGATGTATAAAGTGTCAACATTTCCGAGAATTGAAACACCGCTCCAAACTTTCAGAAAATTGTGGAAAACCAGTGCTTTTAGACTGAAGTCTCGTCAAAACCAGTGACCCGTCAATATAAAAAATATCGGTTATTATCTGATATGCAAACGTCATATCTGCGTACATATCTACTCTATTCAAGTATTTAGCTTTAAATCCACATACCAGCTCCATTGTTTGCTATTTGCTTAAAGAAATTGCTCAAAAATCCTGACACAATTCGATGCAAGTTGTGAACTCGATCAGAAACAGGAAGCCAAAAAAACGAAAATTAACATAACACCCGATTTATATTGGCAGTGATCTTCGTAATAGGCAACTTGCATGTTACCAAAGCATCGTGGGAAAAATGGTAACCTTCACTTGCGCGCGAAATGGCCGCCGTGGAGCGAGCATTTTGCATGTGAGAAATATAGTTTATTTTTAACACTTTTTTCGTAACGTTTGAAAATTTTAAAACAAGGGAGAACTTTGTAATGCTATAAAGTTTGTTTTGACTCAAGTACAGCGAAATCGAACCGAAAATGGACGAGAAAATTCCTGTAGAAGAACAGAGGAGCGAACAGTGTGCTCATAAATACGTTCCAGGAGGAAGGGCCTTCCCAACGTTTTAAGGTGAGCGCGCTTAGTAAACATCGGACAGCTCACCATTTTAACCTACAAATTTGTGTGTGTTGTTTCTTGATGTATATCTCGTATTTTGACAACGATCGAGTGTTTCCTGCCGATTTTTTCGCTTGTTGAAATCGACTAATTCATGACAAAATGTCTGTCGATCGTTCGATCAGCATGGCGCTCAAACACAATGTTTTAAAGAGACCTTAAAATGTTTTGGCGCGAACTAAAAGCAGTTCAAACCGGTTTTTTCTGCCCCGGCTCCGTTACTTTGTAAAAACGCCAAAGAGAAATCATTTTGCCTCTGTTGTCGCTTATTTTTCTGCTTCCTTTGTTGTGGTCGGTTTATTTCCTGTCAAAATAAACAAGTAGGTTTTTAGTATTAAAATATTAGGCTTAAAATATATTGAATTCGTAGTTATATTAACGTAGGAAAAACCGTTTTAAATTTGCATTTAAGGTAGTAGAATATAATATAGTTATTTATAGTAAATTTAGGTATTTTAATCTCCAGGCAGGCCCTAAGGATTAAATTTGTAAATAGTGAAATAAATAATTAAGGTATAGGTTTAAATAATATACATTTTTTGATGGATATTGGGCCGGGTACTTCATCGGAGGCAGATAAAAGCAACACAGAAAATGCATGTTCTAAAAGAAAATATAAAGGAGGTGGAACAACTTGCTGTATTCCAACATGTAGTAGCAACACTATAAAAGAAATCCAGAACTCTCATATTACCAAATTCCAACTGACAAAAAGCTCAGAAAGATGTGGTTGCATTGGATCGGACGAGCTAATTTTACACCAAACAACCATCACAGAGTTTGTTCAAAGCATTTTGTGGGTGGCAAGAAGACATGTCTTCACAATGTTCCAACTATAGTGCAAAAATTATTACTGCCCACCCAACCGAAACCCAGAACAACATCTAAATGCAGAAATAGAGACAACACAATTGAAGAGAGTCCTGAGATAGAAGATGAGCCCACTAGTGAGGACAGAATTTTAGAACTTGAAGAGCTGGTTGAAAACCTTCAGCAGAAAGATCAAGAACAACAAGAAAAGATATCCGATTTGAAGGGAAAAGTCGAACAGTGCAGTTTTTCTATATACCACATTAAAAATAATGATAGCGATATCGAGTTTTATACTGGCTTTTCTAATTACAGTCCATTTAAGGCATTTTATGACTATCTTTGCCCTGCATGTGAAAGGTTACAATATATTGGATCTTGGAATACTACAAAGCCAACAGAAAATCGAGAAAAATGTGGACCCAGGAGGACATTATCACCAGAGGAAGAGTTATTCTTGTGCCTTGTAAGGTTTAGATTGGGTTTGCTTGAGAGGGACTTAGCCAACAGGTTTAACATATCCGAATCCCATGTGTCGAGAATTTGGGTTACCTGGCTTGATTTCTTATACAGACGTTTACGGTCCATACCCATTTGGCCTTCTCAAAGTTATGTGAGAGAAACCTCACCACCAAGTTTTAAGGAGAGTTATCCAAACACAAGGGTCATAATCGACTGCACGGAGTTATTCATTGAAACACCTTCTCAACCAATTTTTTGAAATTTTTTTTTCGGACAACAACCCCCCTCCCCCTCCCCCCGTAGACAACTCTTTTAGGGCAAAACATTTTCCGAATGAGTACGTTGTAATTGCTTTCCAGGCACTTTACCTCAATTTTTCATACCAAATTTCTGTACTTTGCCCAAAAAACCCCAATATCTTGCCCTTTGCACGGAAATATTTCACCCAAAAAAATGACTGGGACCCAACAAAAAATTTCTAGGGCCCCCCGAACCCGGGGCAATTTGCCCCCCCCCCATCTCGGCGGCCCTGTATGTTACTATATATGACTCTACACAGTTCAGTCCAGTATTTTTCTGACTTTATTAAGTACAGTTAGTAGTGTGTCCACTATTTAAATTATGTTTTGTGAACATATAATTATGTTATAATACAGTAACAGTATCTGGCATTAGATAATTAAAATAGAAAGTTGTTAATTCAGGTAAAGTACACTTTTCCCATTCAACTTTACTAAAATAAATCCTTTCAACATGGATATCACTTACAGTATATACAACAAAGTCTACAAAACACAACTGGCAGATAGCCATAACTCCTTGCACTTGATAAAAATATACATGATTCTTTTTTAGACATGGCTTTCCATTTACTATCTCTAAACAAAATGACTTGTCACTGCATGCATTGATGATACTCATCCCAGATTTAGATGCAGGGCATTTTACCTCCACAGCTCCATACATTGATTCTTCTCTCTTGTCCAATATGAGAGCATCTGGACTAGCACCAAGCCATGGCCTCATTGGATTGACCACTAAACCACAGGCTGAGCAAAGAGCTACATGCTCGTTGATTTCATCTTTATATTCATGGTACTTTATCAACGCCTTCTGTTCGTTCTCGATTCCCCATTGACAACTTGCATTCTTTATTTGACTTGGCTTAGTAATCTTGTTCACAATAGTTTTTGGGTAGATTGTTTTTCTCCTCTTCACTACACAACCAAATAATGATGAAGTCAACCGACATTTTCTCTGTTTATACCACTCTTTACACTCATTTTGCTTGCGCGTGTTCTTCTCAATCTCTCTGCATCCCTCATTATTAACAAACAATTTCTCCATAATATATTTTTCACAATTTTCCTTGTCTGGAACACAAGTACAATCTAAATTCTGAGTTAATTTTTTTAGAATACTAGATCTCACAGCTGTTTGGCCCAGTTTGTCACCCACTTCCCCTGCCTTCATTATGCGCTGTCTAGATGGTAATTCATTTGCAGTAAACTCACAAGGTTCACAATTGGTGTTGCCTAGGATACCAACCAAAGACACAAGGCATTTTTTAAGAATTCGTCAGTGGGGGGGCCATCTACAAAAAGGGACCATACTATACCGAGTGTGGAGCAATGATAGATGGTTTGTTGGTAACAAAAAGTTTGGTGTGGTATCGCATTTAATAGTAGGGGGGGGGGGAGAGCAGGGCCGTAGGAAGCTCTTTTCGTTTGGGGGGGCTGAAAGCGAGGGCCGAAGGCCCGAGGAAATTTTTAAATTTAGAGTCTCTGAAATGCCATTTCCTGGACTTTGGGGAAGATTTGACAGATTTCTGATTGTCAGAAAACAGCGTTTTTAGTATGTGGAAATTTAGAATTCAGTAGTACTAAATGGGCGAAGGCGTATTTAATTAACGATATATTGGATAAGTTGCAGGAAAGTATGGGTAATATCTTCATTCTTTGCAGTTTGTCATGGATTAAATGATAAAGGTCTGCATGATTTTGAAAAATGAATGATTATTAGCAAATTATTGGGGGCTGCAGCTCCCCAGCCCCCCTCCCCCCCCCTGGAGAGGGTCTGAAGTTTTCTCTCCCAGAAAATTTTTGTATTTTTCTACCCCTATGACTGCAATTCCCTGCATTTTCTGAAACAGATTTTTGGATATACAGCATTACATTATGCTGTAGATAGACTGAACCTTCAGTTAAGTACTTGCTGACTTGCATAGTATGTTTATGTAGATACCACAACTTGGCCGTCACTTAGGGAGCCAGCTTGATAAACTTAGAGTTCCCGACTCCCACGAAGCGCCACCATGGTTGGCACAGAGCGGAAAAATTTTGAAAATTGTGCGTCTCTAAATGGTCGGAAATGGCATTTTCAAAGTATTCTATACGTCTTTTGTTAGGCCCTTTCATTAATTCGTTCATTATGATTTGTAAGTCTATGATATCCGCGAGTCAGGATGGATTATTACGAGAAATGTTATCAAAATATCGATTACAGATATTTGATTATATGTATATATGATTTCAAATACTTCTAGTTTCGAAATCAAATTTTTTTTTGTGGGGGGCCAATATTATCCCCTCCCCCCTTATAAAACACTTGGTTGAGGGCCTGTTGCCCCCCCTGCGGTCACTAACTTGTCCAACAACTCAAATCTATAGGGTCTGGGAAATGCAATCCACTGCCTGGGAAATGTTTAAAATGTAATAAGGTATTTATTAAACATAAAAGACAGGACATAAGATTCACAAAGCAAATTTCAGTTACTAGAATATCAAACCTCCCTTCTAAATTCCATGTTTTGCTTATAGTTTAGAGAAAAGGGACTTTGACTGGGGGGGGGGGGCAAAATGGTTGAGTGGGGGGGCATGGGGGCTGGGCTTTGGCCCCCCAGTTATATAGTTAAAAAATGCCCTGAAATGACAACTGCTTCCTGCTTTTTCCAAGCTAGTTTTAAGCCATTCCAAGTCATCCTTTGACACCTTCTCTCTTGTTGAGCAGTAGTCCTCCCTCTTCCCTTCTGGTATTGGGCGTTTACGTCCTTTTTTGTCCTTATCATACGAATCCTGGGGGGAAATCAGGCCTCGAAAAGCAGGGCTGCTTGTGTTGTGTTCTTTCTAGGGACATGCGCCTTTTGTAATTCCTGGGTGCAGGTTTTATCATCTGGTATATCTGAGAGTCCAAGTTCAATATAATCGAGAAGCTGATACAAAGTAGCTGCCACATGTTTACAACAGCCACCAGCGCCAGCAGGGCAGTAACATTTTGCATAGGCAATATCTCCTGAATGTTGATGAAGGTGGACATAAACAAGGTACTGTTTTTTCTTCATTTCTGCATTTACATGGCACCGTACAAGAAAATGAACTGCTTCATTTCCTTTCTTTACATTGGGTTTCACCATAACCTGCCTTGGATAACCAGCTTTAAATAGTTTGTATCCACTTTTCTTGTGCTTCAATGCCTCAGCAGGCTAGTACCAAATGGTCCTCCAATTTTTTGTACGAGAATCCAGGAATAAACCGTAAACTCTTTGTCCAACCATCCCCCAATGCTGCCAAATCCTTATCTGCCTCCGATGAAGTACCCGGCTCAATATCCATCAAAAAATTTATATTATTTAAACCTATACCTTAATTATTTATTTCACTATTTACAAATTTAATCCTAAGGGCCTGCCTGAAGATTAAAATACCTAAATTTACTATAAATAACTAAATTTTAAAAATTGACTATATTATATTCTACTACCTTAAATGCAAATTTAAAACGGTTTTTCCTACGTTAATATAACTACGAATTTAATATATTTTAAGCCTAATATTTTAATACTAAAAACCTACTCGTTTATTTTGACAGGAAATAAACCGACCACAACAAAGGAAGCAGAAAAATAAGCGACAACAGAGGCAAAATGATTTCTCTTTGGCGTTTTTACAAAGTAACGGAGCAGGGGCAGAAAAAACCGGTTTGAACTGCTTTTAGTTCGCGCCAAAACATTTTAAGGTCTCTTTAAAACATTGTGTTTGAGCGCCATGCTGATCGAACGATCGACAGACATTTTGTCATGAATTAGTCGATTTCAACAAGCGAAAAAATCGGCAGGAAACACTCGATCGTTGTCAAAATACGAGATATACATCAAGAAACAACACACACAAATTTGTAGGTTAAAATGGTGAGCTGTCCGATGTTTACTAAGCGCGCTCACCTTAAAACGTTGGGAAGGCCCTTCCTCCTGGAACGTATTTATGAGCACACTGTTCGCTCCTCAGTTCTTCTACAGGAATTTTCTCGTCCATTTTCGGTTCGATTTCGCTGTACTTGAGTCAAAACAAACTTTATAGCATTACAAAGTTCTCCCTTGTTTTAAAATTTTCAAACGTTACGAAAAAAGTGTTAAAAATAAACTATATTTCTCACATGCAAAATGCTCGCTCCACGGCGGCCATTTCGCGCGCAAGTGAAGGTTACCATTTTTCCCATGATGCTTTGGTAACATGCAAGTTGCCTATTAAACTGGAGTATTTTTCTATTTCAAACTTGAACCTTTTAAGTTGCGATGCGCCCCAATGCGCCCCACTTCATTATTTTACTTCGTTTAATGTCAGGCACTTTTACTCGTTAAAGGCAACAAAAAATTAGTTTGTCTCATTCAATTATATTACTGTAACCTTTATTACCGATTTTTCATATCTATTAGTTCTCGAAATATGATTTAATTTAGACCGAATTAATGAGCATCTTGGGCTAATACTTGACCTCATTAGCTATGGTTTTGATGACGCCAGGAGTTGGGTTAACCATATAAAACTACTCTAAAATGACCGAGTAACAATCCAAAATTGTTTGAAACGTTTTTAATCATTTCTAAAATTCAGACAGCAACCAGAAACGAAGTTTTGGACCCATAATCCATATTTATATTGATCGCTTTCTCTCGAGATAAAAAATCAGCACTGTACGCTGTATTTGAACACTCTACGCTGTATATGAACGCTTTTCTTGAGAAATTCTCTTTCAGGCATTAAAAAGGACAGATTTATATTATTTCTGAGATCATATGACACATGCTGTTTGCTTGTCGCTTCTCGAAATGAACATTTGTTTCGAATTGGGGGCAGTGTAACGATTTTTTATGCATATTTAATACGCTTACATTAAAAGGTTTCCGAGAGAGTAGATGTTTAGCTCACTGACATCAGTAAAAATCTTACAGCTTGTCAACAAGATGTGTTCGCACTGCTTGTTCCCAGTTCTACATGACACTTCTGGAACCAGTTGTTATCATCTTGTAACAACGTTCATGAAGATATATTACTTTTATGTAAGCTTTTGAAGGCCACACGTTTGTTAATATGGCTGATTCACATCACCCACTTGTGCCTAAAACTGCCCCTTGCAATCTGCTTACAACTTGAGTTGTACTGTGTAAATCAAGCTTACAACTCGCGTACGACAACGGGGGCAAGTTGCGTGCTTGATTTACACAGTACAACTCAAGTTGTAAGAAAGTTGCATGCGACAGTTTTAGGTAAAAGTTATGTAGCATCAATGGCCCTTTAGTACTTCGCACAATTAAGTGTCGCCCTGTTCTCAGTTAAATTAAGTTTATATCTATCTATAATTTGTCAATCATCTCAAATCATATCGTTTTCATTCTAGTTCCGAGTTTCCTAACTTGTCCTCATTGCTCCCCATCCCAGTAGCTTTCTGGGGTGTCTCCTTCCAGGTAAAATACACTCATCATTAAATATCTAAATTTTTTGCCAATATTCGCCAAGGCAGTCATGTCTTCTTGTTCCAATTTCACGTTGTATGTTTCTAGGTTTTGTTTAATACGCCCTTCGTTGACCGACTTGGGTAGAACAGGACAACCGTAATTCACTCCCCACGCTAGCAACACCTAAACAATTGATAAGTGCGCGCTATGAAAAAGAGAACAGTTTAGAACTGATAGAGCTATTCAACATAAATAAAGTTTAGGTTTCTTCCTGTAGTAACACTGGATCAATAAGAGATGATCCTTACTGGACCTCTAGGGAGGACAGTTTAGAACTGATAGAGCTATCCAATATCAATAAAGTTAGTTTAGTTTAGGTTTCCTCCTGTAGTAACACTGGATCAATAAGAGATGATCGTTACTGAACCTCTAGGAAGAACAGTTTAGAACTGATAGAGCTATCCAGTATAAATAAAAATAGTTTAGTTTAGGTTTCCTCCTGTAGTAACACTGGATCAATATGAGACGATCCTTACTATAGACCTCTAGGAAGAACAGTTTAGAACTGATAGAGCTATCCAGTATAAATAAAAATAGTTTAGTTTAGGTTTCCTCCTGTAGTAACACTGGATCAATATGAGACGATCCTTACTATAGACCTCGATCTAGGAAGAACAGTTTAGAACTGATAGAGCTATTCAACATAACGATAAAGTTTAGGTTTCTTCCTGTAGTAACACTGGATCAATAAGAGATGATCCTTACTGGACCTCTAGGAAGAACAGTTTAGAACTGATAGAGCTATCCAGCATAAATAAAGTTAGTTTAGTTTAGGTTTCCTCTTGTAGTAACACTGGATCAATAAGAGATGATCCTTACTGGACCTCTAGGAAGAACAGTTTAGAACTGATAGAGCTATCCAGAACTGGATCAATAAGAGATGATCCTTACTGGACCTCTAACAGTTTAGAACTGATTATCCCTCCTGTAGTAACACTGGATCAATAAGAGATGATCCTTACTGGACCTCTAGGAAGAACAGTTTAGAACTGATAGAGCTATCCAGCATAAATAAAGTTAGTTTAGTTTAGGTTTCCTTTTGTAGTAACACTGGATCAATAAGAGATGATCCTTACTGGACCTCTAGGGAAAACAGTTTAGAACTGATAGAACTATCCAGTAAAAATTAAAATTAGTTTAAGTTTTCTCCTGTAGTAACACTGGATCAATAAGAGATGATCCTTATTGGATCTCTAGGAAGAACAGTTTAGAACTGATAGAACTATTCAGTAAAAATAAAATTTCCTTCTGTAGTAACACTGGATCAGTAAGGAATAACATGAACTTCAAGGTGGTTCAGACACAAACCACGGCAGTTTATATCATTCCAGAGTACCACCTACATCGGACCCAACCTCTACGTTTGAGATTCAGTAAACAAACCTGCGCCGGGCTACAATTACGTTTTGCAGCAATTTCTTTGATCAGCGGTTCATCCATGAGAAGAGGGTCAGCTTCGCCATATCCGGGCCGGTCAGAGGAACCCAGGGAAGAAAACGCTGTGATGATAATGCCTATATGAATAAACTTTAGCGTCATCACTCCAAATTCAAATTAGCTATAACGTATTGCAGTAATGTGACAGCTCTAATTGCTTTGAATTAATGGTGGGGTAAGAATACAAAGCCTTGTACTCATGGGACAAAATAAATACTGTATCTCTGTTATATTTTCTAATTTTTATTTCTTTGAGTTTTGTCCCATGAGTACAAGGCCTTGTGTTCTTACCCAACCATTAATTCAAAGCAATTAGAGCTGTCAACTTTCTACAATACGTTACAGCTAATTTGAAAGGATTCAGGTTTTTTATACACACTGTACAGTATTTTGTAATTTAAAGCATAGACAATCCAGAAGACATGGATTGTCTATGTTTAAAGCGATACAACCGAGCGGAAACTAATTGCTCTTTGAACAACTTTTTGCATATTCCGAATGATGAATGAACAGTTCAATACTTTGATGTACTATTTAAAACATGAGCAGCAGTGTCTTATCAGATATAAAGATACGAGAAAAAGCCGAGTATCTTTAGGTCTGATAAAAAGCACGCACTGCGAATGTCTTAAATTGTTTCAAAAACGATCGATCTAGTAAGTCATTGGCGAAGTAATTTTCAAAAAAATACGTTGTGTAAATCGAGTCGTTATCACATATAAAGATACGACACGCGCTTATGACTTTTCTTTGTGTTTTCTTCGTGAATTATTAATGAGTTTTTGAAATACATATTCTATATAATCCTTCCATGATATTGATCAACTGCAATATAACCTGAGGCAAAGCTTATCAAACACTCAAGATTATGTAAACATCGTTAATTAACAAACCATTTTCGTCGCAGAATTTCTTTAATCCAGGCTGGGGCAAGAATGGGTGTAGTTCAACTGACGAAAAACACAAACAAAGAAGTTAAAATTGCGCTAATTTATATGAGCAATCAAAAGTATAAGGTTTCGTCCATACTAATCTGTTTTCTGCTGTCCTGTTGCGACAGGAGGAAACCTAAACTAAATTAGCTCTATCAGTTCTAAATTGTTCTTCCTAGAGGTCCATGCAGTAAGGATAATCTCTTATTGATCCAGTTTACTACAGGAGGAAACCTAAACTAAACTAAACTGACTTTATTTATACTGGATAGCTCTATCAGTTCTAAACTATTCTTCCTAGAGGTCCAGTAAGAATCATCTCTTATATTGATCCAGTGTTACTACACGAGGAAACCTGAACTAAACTAACTTTATTTATGCTGGATAACTCTATCAGTTCTAAACTGTTCTTCCTATAGAGGTCCAGTAAGGGTCATCTTTTATTGATCCAGTGTTACTACAGGAGGAAACCTGAACTAAACTAACTTTATTCATACTGGATAGCTCTATCAGTTCTAAACTGTTCTTCCTATAGAGGTCCAGTAAGGGTCATCTTTTATTGATCCAGTGTTACTACAGGAGGAAACCTGAACTAAACTAACTTTATTCATACTGGATAGCTCTATCAGTTCTAAACTGTTCTTCCTATAGAGGTCCAGTAAGGGTCATCTTTTATTGATCCAGTGTTACTACAGGAGGAAACCTGAACTAAACTAACTTTATTCATACTGGATAGCTCTATCAGTTCTAAACTGTTCTTCCTATAGAGGTCCAGTAAGGGTCATCTTTTATTGATCCAGTGTTACTACAGGAGGAAACCTGAACTAAACTAACTTTATTCATACTGGATAGCTCTATCAGTTCTAAACTGTTCTTCCTATAGAGGTCCAGTAAGGGTCATCTTTTATTGATCCAGTGTTACTACAGGAGGAAACCTGAACTAAACTAACTTTATTCATACTGGATAGCTCTATCAGTTCTAAACTGTTCTTCCTATAGAGGTCCAGTAAGGGTCATCTTTTATTGATCCAGTGTTACTACAGGAGGAAACCTGAACTAAACTAACTTTATTCATACTGGATAGCTCTATCAGTTCTAAACTGTTCTTCCTATAGAGGTCCAGTAAGGGTCATCTTTTATTGATCCAGTATTATACTACAAAACCAACACCGCGATAATATTAAAATAGGATCAAGTCAGCACCTTGATTAGTGGCAGGAACAATCTCGGCTGTTTCCAAAAGTGCTTTCACTTTGGTTGAGGAAAAATTGGAAACTCCGATTGCCTTACAAAGCCCTTTACGAACCAATTCTTCCATTCCCTGAAAAAACAAGTTGAAGGGGTTTTGTTGACTGGAATTCCGAGTGAAAGATTACGTACAATTTCAGACCTAACCAGGAGTAGTTTGTTTTTCAAATTCACGGTTCTAGTTAAGGTACGTTTACACGCTGCGATTTGTCGGGCCGATTTTGCTCGCTGTATGTAAATAACCTGTCATCAGTACTCGCGTCAGCACCTTGCGATTCACAAAATCGGGAGAATAATCTGTAACAAAACCACAGATTTTTCTCACGATTCAACGATTTTTCTTCCGTTGTAAAGTTGTTGAAAACTTTTCGCACGCAGAAAACTATAATATGAACAGACGAGAGAGCAGACAGCTTCAGTTGAACGTTTAAATCGCTAAATGTCGAAGAAAGGGCATCGATTATTTACCAAAATCGGCCCGACAAATCGCAGCGTGTAAACGTAGCTTTATGCTCGCCAACAACAGACAATGCCTGTGGTTATGTTCTACGCTTTGCAACCAAATACAAAGCGAGCATACGCTCATTGCGCACTGACATTAAAATATTAGGTTGTTTCAGCAACCCTTGGGGGTATTTAAAACCATTTTAACACCATACAGTTCCCATTATCTATCAAAACATTAATACATCACGGATCGCTTTTACCAATTTCAACAACAACAGTAGATTTTACAAACTTTCTTACGACATAAATTGGAAGAAATTCTGTCTGTTGTAAGTATTGTGTAGCACCACCTTATTTTATGAACCTACACGGCCTTATATAAATAATGAAACCGCGTTCATTTTATCTAGCCGTGTTTTTTCCATTTTTGGCCGCGATAACACGGCCAAAACGGCCCTCTAGCTAAGACCCTGGCCGGTCCTCCGGTTGTACGAAAGGCGGATAAGTTCTCCGGTGGATAGGTCCTATCCAGCGGATATATCTTCTATCCAATGGATAACTAGTTATTCGTTGGATAAGAATGCGTTGTACGAAGCACGAACAGCAGGGTGGATAGCTATCCATCGGTTAACCTTAAATTTATCCGGAGAAAACCGGATATTCCTGAAATTTTTTATCTCTACACGCGTAAAAACGCACAAGTTGTTACAAGTCTGCAAACAAGTTGTTACAAGTCTGTCAACAAGTTGTGTTCGCACTGCTTGTTCCCAGTTTGTTGTGACAAGTTTGAAACAAGTTCTTAACAACTTGTAACAAGCTTGATGGCATTATCAGACTTGTTACAAGACTGTGCTAATAAGTTTGTTACAGCCATGACATAACAAGGATGTTACAAGGTTATCAACACAAGGTTCTAACAATCTTGTTATACTAAGCATGTAAAGGACTTGTCAGAACAACCTTGCAACAAGTCTGATAATTTCGATAAGGTTGTTACAGGTTGTCGACAAGTTGTTCTAAACCTGTTGACAACTTGTGACAATCAGTGCGAATACATCTTGTTGAAGGCTTGCTGGCAGACTTGTTACAAGATGTAAAGCCTGGTTCACATAAAATCGTTAAGCAGTCGCAGACAGTCGCAGACTGTCGCAGACATGTGCCGATCCGTCGCCGATCCGGTCTCAGACAGTCTGTGCGAATCTGCATTTGTGTTCATATAAAAATTCGGCACATGTCTGCGACTGTCTGCGACTGCTTAACGATTTTATGTGAACCAGGGTTAAGAATTTTACGTATGTACGCCAGCTGTTAATTGCTAAGCATTTAATATAAACTTTTGTTGTAATATCTTCGACAGGGGCGGATCTAGGATTTTTCGTACGTTAGTCAAAAATTTCGTTGCTGAACATTGGGGGAGGGGGTACTTTTCGGGGGGTCAGAGGGGAGGGGGGGGTTGCCAAGCAAGTTAATATTTTTTATATGTGTTCTGTTTACGAAAAAATGTAACTTAAAAAATTGCTTTTTCGCCGAATGTCAAACAGATATCCAATTCTCATCGAGAAATAGATTGACAAGGATGACTTGACGTTTTAAAAATTGTTATTTAATCGCATATTTTTTCCTTTGACATGGAACAGGATGGTCAAAAAAATGCAATATAGTGATGCAGTTTAAAACATTTGATTGTTTGTTAAGCAGGAAGAGAATTTCCACGTTTAATTCACTGCTCCTCGAGTTTCATTCCGTAGCAGAAACATGCGCCATAAATAAGTATTCACAATGGCAACATGATCCATTTTACTTGTTGTGTACATGTTGTAGAGATCGTATTACACAAGGCCATGCTACATTGTCGTGCCATTGTAGTTTAAAATATTAAATAGGTATAAAGATTAAAGAGTGTTATCAAGTAGCGATCTGATTAATATATAAAGTCTACATGCCACAAGAAGCATAAACAAAGTATAAACACACTGAAACTGCCTGTATTAAGCCGCAATATTTATATAAATTGACGGAAATATTATGTAAATTTCGTCTCGTATTATTATACGTCTTATACGCGTACCCGCCGATATTATAGCATGCATGTGCGTACAGACGCACAATCCACCGTCGTATACAACAGTTTACAGTTATAATGCTATATCTAGTTAAAATAGAATATATATCTCTTAAGTTAAGGCCGTACAAAAGATTTTTGTCTTCTCTCGAACGTACTTCAGGATGTAAGATTCCGCACCAAAATTTCGTGCGAGGAAGGCTGCTTATGTTAATATTCACAATACAACGCTCAATAAATCTTTAATAAAAAGCTTCGGTAGACCATTACTCGCTTGTTTAAATCAGCTTCAATATCTTTGACATTTTGTCAATCGTCATGCTCTAAAGCAGCCTTTACAGTTTCGTAAATACTAACAGACATGGCTGGTATTAGTTCAGAATTTCTGATAGTAAATCTTCCCATTGAACTTTAATAATTTGCGGTCAAGCACAAAGTAGCGATCAGAAGGGGCCCGAAACGTCGTAGACCTTTCCGTGCACTAATGAAGCCTGAACGGTATGATCGATCAAAAAAATCAAGCCAATGGGAATTCAGGATTGTTTTGAATTAGCCAATCGGATAGCCTGTATTCGAGCCCCTGATCGCTACTGGACTGTTAAACTTTCAATACATTACACTGCGCGAAGTTTGATAACTGGACTGCTATTTTAATTTAACAATTTTCCATTTTTCTGGCCAATTTTTACCTTAGTCGCGTGATCGCTCTGATCACCCCTAGATCCGCCCCTGATCTTCGACTTGTGAATTCCACCAACCTTTGAAGACTTATAGAACTATCTATTTAAACCTTGAGAGTTTTTTTCCGTCCAATCGTTGAAGAATTTGCTATCAGTACCTAATATCAATATTCGTTTAAAACATTTTTGGCTTCTTTTTGCGAAGGCAATAGTTTGCAAAGACTCCGAGTTTTGGTTTCTTGTTTCAGTACGTTGATTCAGTTTTATTTTATATCACTATAGCTGTCCGAATGTTTGTTCTTCGACCTTTCACTTCATTCAAAACAATTTTAAGAACATTTTGTGTTCTATATATAGGCTACAGTAAGACTTTTTTAAAATGTGTTTATTACATTAACCAACGACGTTTCGGAGATTTAGTCCATCTATAATAACATGATATTAAACATGTAATAAACACATTTAAAAAAAGTCTTTATACTGTGGTCTATAAATTGAACACAAAATATACTATAGAAAGTCATAGAAAGTTCGTTCCTAAACGTTTTGAAAAATTTTAAGAATTTTAGAACATTTTCTCGCAAGATTTGATTGGCTAATCAAGGCCAATCAAGGCGAGCGAACAATATTTTTCGACTTTCGGCGCCTTGTTGTCTGTTCATATGTAGCTATATTTGTTTGGCGTGGAAGGGAACTCATTTGATGAAAGTTTTATTGCTTGTTTTTGGGCTATATAACAAAGAAAAAAGCCAGAAAACTTAACGTCTAAACACTGACACTGGTCTGCGTAAAATATGGCAAAGCCATGGCATTATTTAATGGGCAAGTGAGTCAAAATGAGCTCGGTGAACGTCAAGAGCAAGAGACTAGTCATATAAAGTAAGTTTCCATGTTTAATATTTTTAATAGTGTCAAGAAAGGGACTTCTAAACGGTATTTGTCCTTTTTTATCACAATGGTAATCCCTTTTATCTTAAATACACATTGTTTTGTCTTCAAACTTCGAGTTTATCCGCCCTATAGCGGATTTAAACTACCAAACCTCGGATAAATGTATCCAACGGTAGTGCATTTTTATCCGTTGGATAGCGCTATCCCGTACAACGCGATTTTCACTCCGAATAAAATTTATCCGTTGGATAGCGACTCGTCCACCGGATAGCAATTTATCCATCTTTCGTACAACCGGCCCAGCTGAAAAATAAACAAGAAAACACGGCGAAAGTCCGCAAAACCGCCGCGAAAGTCAGAGAAGCCAAGGCAGTTTTCCGTGAGATGTCTACGCCAAACCAAAGTGTAGCTGTTTGGCAATTATGTATCAGTGTTTCTTAGTGTAATGAGCCCCACTTTGTCTTCGAGAAACCTGCCCATGCAAAAAAATATTCTCTTTTTGCCAAAAAACGAAAGCGTTTATAGCATTTGAAGAGTTTATAGGGAAGATATAGCGTTGGAAAATCCAAGGTAAGCATTGTTTTTCATTGTTGTTTTTAAACTGAAAAATGTTGCTCATTCCTTACAATTAGCAACTTTTAGCATAGTTAACTTTAACTACTTTTCAACTGCAGAATGCCACAATATTCAATTTTAACGCTACCTTCCACGTTTCGCTCATTCTCTTCTTATCATAGCCAAGAATATCTTTACGCTGTTCTGGTTTCGCTGGGAAAAACATACCCTTTGCAAATGCATATGGATTATGTATCTAAGAAAGATATACATAATTGTTTAGAAACATTCTTTGATTGCATCTTGTATGGTGATAGATATACAATGTTTTTCAGGATTTTGGCCCTTAATATTAAAGAGATGATCGTTACTGGACCTCTAGGAAGAACAGTTTAGAACTGATAGAGCTATCCAGTATAAATAAAGTTAGTTTAGGTTTCCTCCTGTAGTAACACTGGATCATTAAGAGATGATCCTTACTGGATCTCTAGGAAGAACAGTTTAGAACTGATAGAGCTATCCAGCACAAATAAAGTTAGTTTAGTTTAGGTTTCCTCCTGTAGTAACACTGGATCATTAAGAGATGATCCTTACTGGACCTCTAGGAAGAACAGTTTAGAACTGATAGAGCTATCCATCACAAATAAAGTTAGTTTAGTGTAGGTTTCCTCCTGTAGTAACACTGAATCAATAAGAGATGATCCTTACTGGACCTCTAGGAAGAACAGTTTAGAACTGACAAATAGTCAAATGAATTACCAAATATAAATCCAAATATTTAATTTGCAAATTTTTCAAAGTTGTTTGACAGGCTGCCAAGACATCCTCTCTTGCATGGCTCAGTTACACCTACAATAAATGGAAATGTTTCTTAAACTTTCTCAAGAATACATTATATTATTACTTTTGTACATATAACCCATTGAGCAACAGCGCTCTCCCCTTAATTGACAAGTAAGCTCATCTCTATCTAGAGCATAATAGGGCGTAAAAAACCCCCTGCGGTTCCGGTTTCATATCGTGAAAAAATTAGGGTCGGTAGGTCGGAAATAAATTATTTTTTAATATACGGTATTTTTCATGGTTTTGGCGGTTTTTTGCTGGGCGATTTGCAGTAGAGTCCCGACATCAATATTAACTAGAGATGCGTATTTCCTATGGATGAATTTAGGCAATTTGGTTCAATAATTATTGTGACAACAGACGCCATTTTGGCATGCTTTATGAGCAGCCCACAACCACCTGGAGAAAATAGGGTCGCACGGTAAATCGCGTTGAAAAAATAGTAGGGTCGGCAGAAAAAAATAGGGTCGGTCCGGAACCACAGGTATTTTTTTTTTACGCCTAGGTCGTCTTGACAAGTGGCAAGTTTTTTATATTTTGCTAATTGTTAGTTTTTCTTCCAAGTAAAATAATACAGGAAAAAATTGTGGGTCACATGCTTCTTTTCTAACTATACGAGGTGATAGGCTGTTTTGGAGGACATTTCGTACACGTATACATTTCGTACATAGCAACAAATTATCTATCACTAAAACTAATCTAATTTGAAAGTAGACAGATCAAAATACCGTATATAAAAAACCCAATATCTGCTGAATAAATCCTAAAAATGCATAGTTTGAACATGATAAACTGTTGAACACCTGAATTTTTAAAAAGTGTATCGAGCCACCTTAAGAACATTTAGAATGAATATAGCTTAGCAATAACTAACATACATGTATTTCATGCCACAATTTTGAGGTAATAAATATGTCTTCTCGCTTCATACCAACTTCCTTCAAGACCTCGGCAAGAGCCTGCCCGATCTCCGCTTCGTTACCATAGTAATGAGCACAGTCAATGTGTTTGTACCCGGCTCTGATCGCTGCTTTGACAGCCTTGCCAACCTCGCCTGGCTTTGATTTCCATGTTCTGCATGAGATAAAGTGATTTAGGGCTTGTTAATACAGAGGCATTTTACTTACGTAGCTGAGTTACTATGAACTAAACTTCTACTGGATAGCTCTATCAGTTCTAAACTGTTCTCCCTAGAGGTCCAGTAAGTATCATCTCTTATTGATCCAGTGTTACTACAAGAGGAAACATAAACTAAACTAACTTTATTTATACTGGAAGCTCTGGCAGTTCTAAACTGTTCTTCCTATAGGTCCAGTAAGGATCATCTCTTATTGATCCAGTAGTCAACTACAGGAGGAAACCTAAACTAAACTAACTTTATTTATACTGGATAGCTCTATCAGTTCTAAACTGTTCTTCCTAGAGGTCCAGTAAGGATCATCTCTTATTGATCCAGTGTTACTACAGGAGGAAACCTAAACTAAACTAACTTTATTTATACTGGATAGCTCTATCAGTTCTAAACTGTTCTTCCTAGAGGTTCAGTAAGGATGATCTCTTATTGATCCAGTATTACTACAGGAGGAAACCTAAACTAAACTATTAAACTTTATTTATACTGGAAGCTCTAGCACTTCTAAACTGTTCTCTCTAGAGGTCCAGTAAGGATCATCTCTTATTGATCCAGTGTAGGAAACATTCTAATTACCCTGTCAGCAACATTCCTTATGTGTAAAGGTGTTAACAAATGTAAATTGTTTTGTACACATTCGAAATGCAGTGTACCATGACAGCATGATACACTCTGTACAATATACAATAACATACAATTCTATCAACGCATGTAATTGCTTACCCCAGGCCAATTGAAGGCATTACTGCTCCGGTGTTAAGTTTAAATGAGCGAACCTTTTGAAAAAAAGCAAGATATCATGTATAGATTGCGCGCACACGGCACAGTAGTACAATATAGGTACATTATACAGCAGATAACAGACTGGCTGAGCCGCCACATATAAAAAATATCGGTCACTTGAATTCGATGTGGAAACGTTAAAACCGCGTAAATATCTACTCTATTCAAAGATTTAACTGTAAATTGACTCACCAGATCCATAGTTAGTTATTTGGTTGGAGAAATTGCTCAAAAATCCTGCAGTGTTTACAAATCGAAAGTTGCGAAAACTAAAAGAACGAAGGATTATATAACTGCAGTATTGCCATTGCGATTAATAAGGATTAACATGATGCCCGATTAACCGATGACCTTCGTTGAGACTGGACTATGAATTGGACTGCGTAGCGGGTCTCGGGCTGAAAAAGTATACCTTTTGAAATCAAGGCTTTGTTTGAATTTGACCAATTGAATCGAATTTGAGTTAATATTTGGTATAATTTAACACAATATACAGGGTGTCTCAAAAAAACCCAAAATCATTGAAATTGACGTATTGTTCGATATTCAATGCCCTAGCACTAAGTTAATCCCACGAGTGCAT